AGCTTGTAACAGATGGGATCAGGCCTGGAGCCTGAGGTCTTTCCCAGGCCTGGTCAGGGTCGGGACAGCAGGGTTCTGACGGGGGAGAGGCTGGGGAGAAAGAGGAGTGCAAACACACAACAGAGACAGGAAGCTGGTGGGGCCTGGCAATGGCAGGAAAAACGAGGGAGACATCTGATGAGCATGCACTATGGACTCTGTGATCTCACTTAATCCGCCCGGTCACCCTACGCGGAGGTACCATTGTCAGCTGTGTTCCAGAGACAGAAAAATCTCGGGCAGGGAGAACAATCGCCCAAAGTCACACGGCCGGTTATATGCCAACGCCGGCCGCAGGGTGTGAAGTTGGGCCCAGAGGGAAATCTGGGCAAAAGCATCAAAAGCTGCTCCCTCATGACCCCACCACCTGCTCTCCAGCAACACCGCCACTCAGGCTAAACCGAGCTGAGTCCCTCTCTCTCCCTCTCTTTTTTTAGCTTATTTATTTATTTTAACCTCTACGTCCAACATGGGGCTCGAACTCATGACTCCAAAATTAAGAATCACACTCTCCACCAACGGAGCCAGCCAAGAACCCCTTGAGCTGAGTCTTTTAACGTAGGGCCTTTTTCTACCACTGACAGGTGCATTCCTACCTGTCAAACCAGTTTCAACAACTAAATCTACAACACAGATTTCAATGAGAACCAACAGTAAAGCATGTCCCTCCTCTTTGATCCCCATTTGAGAACACCATGGCCAATGTCCCCACCGACCCTTCCAACCCCCAAACTAAGGTGGCCAGAGGTGGCCTCATCTTTGGAGCCCCCTCACCCTGTGGACATGTCACGGGAGGAGTTTCCTGGTGGGCAAAACTGCCCCCCCTCACACTGCAGCAGGACTGACTCTCCTGAGCCAGAGGTCCGGGAGTGGGGGAATGAGTCATTGGCCGGACTGGAGGGAGGGCAGATGAGCCTCCCACAGCGTGGCCAGTGTCACGTGTGGGAGTGTCAGTGACAGGTGGCTCTCTGCCACCTGTCTTGCAGAGCCCACATCTCCTCCCCACACGGCCTTCGTGGGACTGGGAAGATGAGCTGAGGCTTGGGTCATTCCTGCAGTTCGGTCTGGAAGGGTCTCTGGCACAAGTCCCCCAGGAGAGCTGGGACTGCAGGGCCTGCCACCAGGGGCTGCGGTGCACCCAGCCAGTCCCTCCTCCCCAGTGCCCACTTCTGCCCCCGGGGACAGTGGAGCCCACAGGTGGCCAGGCCAGCAGCTCTGAGGCAGCGTCTCCCGCTCCCAGTTTCCAACCCCCCCCCCCCCCCCCCCGCCCGCCCAAGCTCCACTTCCCATCCCTGAACAACTGGCTTGTGGAGGAGGCCCTGCCCAGCCAGGTGCATCCCATCTGCTCAGACGGCCTGGGTGGTCAGCAGGGCAGGGATCAGGACTTCACAGATGAGGAAACAAACAAGCTCAGCAAGAACAAGGGCCTTGCTGGAGGCCCCGGCACACGCCGCCGGGGCTGGCCGGAAGCACGCTCTGGCTGCACAGGTCCCACGAGCAGCCTGCTGTTGTCCCTTCCAGAATAGCTGCACACAGGCACCCCTGGCACTCATTCCACCATGATCACCTTGTGCCCTCTGAGAGGCTGAGGAAGTGGAAATGAGGACGGACAGCATCTGCTCTCCTGTTTCAGTGGGGGAGAGACCCCAAGCATGAAAATGAGCATGAGAAGTAACAGCAGAGCCACTAGCGCCCCAAGGAAAATAAGGGCTGGGGGCGGGCGGGCAGAGACACTATGTGAGATGGGAGCCAGGCAAGGCCCCTCTGAGCACTAGGTTGCGTTGCGCCTCCAGAGGCCTGGGACCCCTCCCCCATGCCAAATCGTCTCACCTGCAAGGATCCCCAACACGTGACCTCAGGCAGGGGCTGATGGGGCTCTCGCCCTCAGGCAGACACCCCCAGAGGCTCCTCCCCAGCTGGGCCACCACTCCAGTCTGGGCCTGGCCCAGCTTTCCTCCCTGAATGCTTACCTGTGCTGGGGCCCCCGATTCCTCTAGTTCGGGGGCACTCCTGCACCTCCTGGCTCAAGCAACCTCCCCATCTCTATGATGGAAGAGCAGCTTCCGAGTGACCTCTCTCCCATGAGACCAGCCAACTTTCCCCGCACCCTCGACCTCGGGGTCACATCCCCACAGCAGGCCCCACAGTGACTCCTCCACACCTCCATCAGTGACCTTCCCACCAGGTCCACAGGTCGAATGACACCCCCTGTGCTTTCCCACAGCTTGAAGACCAAGTCCAACATATCTCCCACCCCTCCTCTAAGCCCAGCTAAGTTCTCCCTGCAGGCCCCAGCGAAGACCCTTCGGCCTCCCAACCAGGTAACCACCTTGGCCCAACTTTCTGTCCCTGGCAGGACTCCACCTTCCCTCGTCCCAACCCAGGCAGAAACTCACTGTCCTCCCCAAGCACAGAGGCTAGCCACCTGCCCCCTTGGCATTGACGAGCCTTCCAATGCCCTGTCCTGCAAATCCCCCTGTCTAAATTCACCAACGTCACCCATGATCCCTCCCCTGCTTGGGGACCAGGATCCCCCAACTCCTTCACTGCCAGTCCAAGCCCCCAGCCCCTCTCCAGAGCCAAGAGAGACCCACTCTGCCAGCCCGGAAACTGATTTCTCAACTTCTCCGTGTCACCACCGCTCTAACTCAGACCCACGGACTCCTCCGGACCAGTCCCTGCTGTCCCTCTTTAAATTTCCAGAAAGGCGAGACTCCTCCAGCCTGTAAGCTATTACCATCTCCCCCTACCGGGGAAGACCAATCAGCAACCGTCCCCTCAGCTCCTCCCAGCCAGACTCCAAGGGACCCCTCTTTCTTGACATTCTTCCCTCCCCTCAAACTCCTTCACCGCCTGGGTAAGAGCAGCTGCTATTTCTGTGGCAAGAATTTACAAGGACTATTTTATTTAATCCTCACAACTACCCTGCGGTAGAAATTAGCACCTCCATTTGCAGAGAAAGAAACAGGAGGCACAGGGAGGAAAAACAGCTTACTCAAAATCAAACAGCTGGTTACACACAGCTGTTCCTCTTCTGGGAACCTGCACACCAGAAACTTGCCCCCAGCCCTGCCCCCGACCCTGTGCCAACTCTCCCCCTGCCCCCCCCATGGCCCTCCAGCCCACAAACTGCTCTTCTTCCCTTCTGCTTGTCCCAGGCACACAAACTGACCACCATCTCTGTCCCTCTCCTGAAGGCCTGGGAAGCAGAAACATCCAGGTCCCAAGCATATGAGTGGACCCCTCTAGACGGGCCCCTAAAATGACTAATATCACCAACATCACCCTGAAAATGACCAACAATAACTGCAACTTCACGAAAGCTCATCCTGGCCAATTACTTTTCATACACACCTGTATTTAGCCCTCCCTTAAAGCCTTTGGAGAAGTATTACCACCCACTTCACAGTCAGGAAAAACTGAGACTCCGAGGAGTTAAGACAAGAAGCCTGAGGTCACGAAGTGGGTAAATGGGAGTCAGGATCTGACCTGGAACATCTGCTCTCCACCATCCTACTCAGCCCAGCTAGGTCTTTCTCTCCTCCGCTCTCAACTCCCAGAACTGGGTACCATGCTATGGCCAGGACCTTGTATGACTCTTCCCCTCCCCCAGCCCAAGTCCTCCAACCCAAAAGTGACATCCATCCAGAGCCCAGGGCCCAAATGTGGCTAGCTCTCGACGCCAACAATCATAAATTGCCTCTTTAATGAGAACTCGCCAAACTGGCACTTATGACAGACTACCTATGTGCTCAGCTTCCAGTTATCATGTTTCCCACTCTCACAAAAAAGCCACAATTTCTCCACCGCACAGACTAGCAATAGTGCCGCCTCCTTCCTGGGGCCAAGTCACTTTTCAAGTGACCAACTTCTACTGAGCCAGGACCAATATGTGACCCCTCTCTTCGTGAGCTCCACCCTGGCAAGACAGATCTCTCCAGCACAGAAACAGACTCAATGGGGGCACCCATCTACTGAGTGACTCTCCAACTTTGGCCCTATAGGTAAAACACACACACTTCTCGACTTGCCCTTTCAGCTCCAACACGAATCTGACCTTCAGGGGACCCAGATCTGCCGACCTGCTCCCTCTCCCAACACCTCAAGCCAGCAAACTTCTTCAGGCACTCACCTTCTGGCGACCAATTCCCCATCTCTTTCTCAGGAAAAAAAAATTTTTTTTAAAGAGACCCTTCTATATCCAAGCCCCAAAGCTCCTTGATGACTGATACTGCTTTGCTTCCCTATTGGGGAAAAGAAAAGGAGGCCTGCAGTAACTTTTCTTTTTAATATCAAGATCTAACACCTCCTCGGACTATCTCACCCACCTCCAAAGTGACCATCCCCTCTGCTCCTTTCCTGGGAGTTTGTTTACTCTGACTCCCTTTTCCCAACCCTAGGATTTACCAGCTCCTCCGCAGCCATAGGCCAAGCTGGTTTATTCCTCTTCCTCCTTTCAGCCAAAAAAGTGAGCAACAGGACTACCTCTTGTGCCAAGGTTTGCACACCAGCAACTTAACCTCTTTCCATCCCTATGAGCCCATCAAGCTCCACTTGGCCTTTCAACGCCAATGCTGACCCATTCTTCCCTCGCTGGCTGCTCTCTCTATCGCTGTTGGGGCGCGGGGGGGGGGGTGGTTAGGAACTCAAACACTACCGCCCCACCAATCTCCCATGCCTCCAAACTTTAATTGCTTATCGTCTTAATTCCTAAAACGACCATCTTCGGCGTTGGAGAAGAGGGGGTGCGGGGGGACCAAAAAAAAAAAAAAAAAAAAACAGCTACTTTTCACCTTCCCAACCCAAAAGGCACCTCGTCTCTAACATCCTGCAGCTCTAAACTGACGACAGTCCCCTTAAATCATCATTAGGTGCAATTTAATGAGCACCACCTCCGTGCCGGGCGCTGCACTGACTCCAGGTCCGCCACGAGCCCGCCCCCGCGCCCCGGCGGTAGCTACCGTGTCTCCAGGGGTCTTTGGGTTCCACCGCTCCGGACACGATATCCTCGTCGGAGGGAAACGTGACGCGCTTGGCCGCAGCCTTGAGGCGCCCGTCGGCGGGGGACGATGCGGGGCTGGGAGATGGGGCCTCGGCGGGGGCCTCCTCGGCGTCGCCGTCCGCGCCCGCCCCGGGCGGCGCCTCCTGCGGCGGGATCTCCATCGCCGCCGCCGCCGCCGCCTCCTCACGGGGGCCCCGGGGACATGTCCCGGACCCCGGGCTTGTGTCTCCGGGCCCGCCCGCCGTCCCGGGGCATGGGCTCCGCCGCTGCTTCAGGCGCCGCCTCCGACCGCTCTCCTGGTCGTCGTAGTCGTCGCCGCCGGGAGCTCGAGCGCGCCTCCCCCGAGCCTCGCGCGCGCCTGCTCGTTCGCGGCCGCACTTTCGTTAAGAGCCGGTGCGCACGTCGCGGACTAAGGAAAGCGGAAAATCAATTTAAGCTATCTGCAGGTAGGGTTGTCTCGCGGGTTGCTGAAACCGGTAACAAGAGGCAGAAAGAGCCACGGGAAAAAGAAACGTGAGCAGTGAATCGGCAGAGCCGGAACTGCAGAATACGAGGGGCGGGGCGAGATGGACGCCGTCTCCCGGAGCAGCGCGCAAGCGCGAACCTGAACCGCCTCCACCCCGCCTCCCCGCCTCAATCTAGATATCTAACGTTCACGCTCGCACACATTCGTCACGAGCTCGGGCCACGGAGCGGGGAATGGAGTTGATAAAAATAAAAACATCTGCTTGGCGGGGCTAGGCCAGCTGATAGGGAGAGAGGCATAGGGACAGAGAACTTGAAAGGAAAAGCGATATCAGGCGTACTGAATATATGGATGCTGACAGACGTATCCTCTGCCTGGAGACGAAACCTGTGCCTCTTTGCTACTTATTCTCCAGGCCTCCATTTGTAAACAGCAATTTCATCAATAGTTCTCTGTATCCGTTGAGTGAAATACAATTTAAATTAAAAGACTAAAATAAATATGAGCCCATGAGGAGTATCACAGTCCTGATTAAAAAAAAAAAAAAAATTGAAGAGGAAAGAAATTCCAAAACCCAGAGACGAATCTGCCAACGAAAATAATCGGGCGATGGAGCGGGGAGATCACCAAGTACGGAGCGAACGGGCGAGAGCCCAGGCCCCCGACCTCCCCTCAATTCAATCACTTAATATTCGCCTCCGCACTTTCGCGAGGCTTTCCTAGCAAGTCCGTCGGCGGGGAGCGGAGCTAAGACTAAAAGGGAGGGGGGTTTCGGGGAGGAGCGAGCGACGTCGTTGCCAAGGCAACTCGAGAGCTAGTCCGCGGACTCGCTGGAGGCGGCGTCGCGAACGGACCTATGGGAGCTGAGGCTCTCCGCCTGCTCCCTTCAGCATCTTCAGCCGCCGCACTTTCGCGACTGCAGACGAACAAAGCGAATCTTTATTTAATGGGATCTTCGCTTGCATTCTAAAGTTGATGGGACTACAAAGGGGGCTGCAATTACTTTTTTAAAGCGAATGTGCTGAAAGACGCTAGTGACGGGGATAAGGGCAGCGAATGATCCGGATGGCCACACAGCTGGAGCGACACAGAAAGAGGGTGAAGCTTCACCCCAAGCACTAGTCCTCATCCTGGCCTCAGTGGCGCCGCCGCACAGGGTCCGACGCCTTCCGGAGAGGACGGGGAAGCCGTCTCTAGAGTGAGGTCCACACCGCTCCAGGGCCAGGCGACCAGGTAACCCGGTGCGAGCCGCGCCCCTGCCTGGGAACACTCCCGCCTACCCGAAAAGGAAATCGCGTCCAAATGTCCCAAACCTGGCTTTCGGGTAGTTCCAGCCATTCCCGGACCAAGCCAATCTCCGCCTTCATCCGAGTTCCTCTCAGCCCCGTGATGTATCCTCTTCTTGGCCCAGATCCACCAGATTCAGACCTTGGCTAGCCTAGCCACCCTTCCACTTCCTAAATCTGGCTCCATCCCCGTGTGCTACACTTTAAAACAAACAAACAAACAAACAAAAACAGGAGGCGAATCTTCCTGGGATAATTGGTTCTTTAGTAGGAGGGGAGTATCTTCAGGGTGGCTGAACTTTGCAGCTTCAAGAAACAATTTCCCACTCTGCCATTTGCCTTCCACGCCCAATCCTCAATCTTCGGGAACTGGCAAGAGGCCCTATTCTAGAGTTTAGAGTTCTTTGAGGTAGAGCATCCAGTCAATGGGCTCTAGAACTACTAGGATTGCAAAATTTTACCGACTACACCCTGGAGGTCCCAAGAAGCCAAAGTTGCTTGGAGGTTGGCTCAGAATTCCAAGGGAGTTCCAAACTCTGTGTGCCCCACGCCACGACCATGTGGCAGGTCTGGGGCCCCATGGCTAGGCCCAAAGCCAAAAGGTGAAGCCAGTAGCATCTTCATGGCTTGAAGGTGTACGCAATAATGTCACTACACCGCAGCAGGGCCTCAGCCTGCACACCTATGGGCGTCTGCAGCTGTGACACGTAGAAGTTGGCCACGTCCAGGTCAGTGGCTCCGAAGTGGGCAGTCACGTGCACGCCCTCGTGCAGTGTGAAGCTCACCTGGTGACCCACCATGGCCAGCAGGCTGCGGAGGTAGCGCTCCCGGAGCGCCGCTCGTGCCTGCTGTTCCTGGGATTCCCGAGACTCTTGAACTCCTGCAGACTCTGGGGTTTCGGGACCCTCTGGCATCCGGGGGGCCCTGCGTCCATCTGGGGCAAAGCCTCGGCTCAGGCCATCCGGGCCCCGGGGGAGCCGGAGCACAGGCACAGGGATGGTCAGTGGAGTCTGCATTATCCTGGCTGAAGGGTAAGGAAAGCAAGAAGCCATTACACAGGGAGTGGGCGACGGTAACAAGAGGCGTCTGTCTACCCCACCTCGGCTCAACTTGTCCAAAACCCAGTTCCGGATTCTCCTCCTCCACGCTGTCCCCTCCCTCCGCCGATTACCGCCTCTCCAGGAGCTGCTACCACCATTCTCGAGGTCCACGAGAGCAGGAGCTTTTGACTCCTTTTTTTTTTTTTTTTAAGATTTTACTTATTTATTTGACCGACAGAGATCACGAGGCGGCAGAGAGGCAGAGAGAGAGGGAGAAGCAGGCTCCCCGCTGAGCAGAGAGCCCGATGCGGGGCTTGATCCCAGGACCCCGGGATCATGACCTGAGTCGAAGGCAGAGGCTTTAACCCACTGAGCCACCCAGGTGCCCCTTGACTGCTTTGATCACTTTTATTCCTACTCCCTGGCAATAAATATTTGCTGAAAGAACCAAATCCGGCCTCCTCTCGTCTCTCACACACAGCCCATCCAATCTATAGAGAAATGCTCTCTCCCACATACACTCCCAATCACACGGGAGCAGGCTTACAATGGCTTCCGGGGGCCAGCTCTGAAAAGTTATGAACATTACCATAACAACAGTTACACAGGTCACCTGGCTGCTCAGTAGGCAGAGGCTGGGATTCTTGATCACAGGGTTGTAGGTTCGAGGCCCACATTGGGTGTAGAGATTACTTAAAAATAAAATCTTAGGGGCGCCTGGGTGGCTTAGTTGGTTAAGCAATTGCCTTCGGCTCAGGTCATGATCCTGGGCTCCTGGGATCGAGTCCCACATCGGGCTCCCTGCTCAGCAGGGAGTCTGCTTCTCCTGCTGACCTCTCTCCTCATGCTCTCTCTCTCTCTCTCAAATAAATAAATAAAATCTTTAAAAAATTTTTCTCTTAAAAAAATAAAATCTTAGAAATAAAATAGACGAAAAATGATAGTTGCAGATTATAACCCACTGAAAAAAACAGAAATCCATGAGTCCATTGAAGGAGCTAAAATCCAATGGATGCTGAAATTTGTAGATGAGTGCTGGGCAAGGGCCAGCGTAGCCACAGTCTTAAAGTACTTCCCCAGAAAATATTTATTTGTTGTAAAGAGTAAACAATAAGTTTGTAAGTGAGGAAACTGGTGGACACGACCTTAACTTAGACATCAAAGCCATCATGTGCAGTAGTGGGACAAATGGACCCCCTGGGCCTCCTGACGTGGCACCATTTCTGTGGTATTCCTGCCAAAAATGGATTACCTAAATCTCATTGTGAGGAAACTCAAATTGAGGGACATTCTATAAAAAAGAGCCTGCTGGGCGCCTGGGTGGCTCAGTCATTAAGCATCTGCCTCCCGCTCAGGTCATGATCCCGGCGTTCTGGGATTGAGCCCTGCATCGGGCTCCCTGCTCAGCTGGCAGCCTGATTCTCTCTCTGCCTCTCCCCCTGCTTGTGCTCCCTCTCTCTCTGTGACAAACAAAATCTCTGAAGTGCATTCTCTTTGCCCTTTAAAAAAAAAAAAAAATCAAGGTCATAAAAGGCAAAGAAAGCCTGAGGAGGAAATATGTATCTAACTGACCCTTGAACAACTTGGGAGTTAGAGCTCCAGCCCCCCACACGACTGAAAAACCAGGTATAACTTGTAATTCCCCAAGACCTAACTACTGGTAGCCTGCTGTTGACTGGAAGCCTTATTGATAACATAAAGAGCTGATTAACACATATTTGGTACGTTGTACGTATTACATGCTCTATTCTTACATTAAGGTAAGCTAGAGAAAAGCAAACTTTATGAAGAAAATCCTAAGGAAGAGAAAATACATTTACAGCATTGTACTGTATTTATGGAAAAAAATCCGTGTATAAGGGGACCGATGCAGTCCAAACCGGTATTGTTCAAGGATCAATTGTTGTTTTTATATTCTGAGCCTAACGCTCGTCTCTCCACTGCCCACATCTTGGTCCAGCCACTGTCGCTTCCTGCTTGGACGAATGAAGTCACCTCCTCCCTGAGCTCCTCGCTTCCACCTTCACTGTCTCCTTACCCCCGAGTCTATCCCCACCCACACAGCCAGAGGGACCTGCTCAATACCTGACACCCACCATCGAACACCGGAGCCCGGTCACGCCCATCCTCTGCTGAGAGCTCGCCCCTGGCTTCCACCTGGCAGAGTCAAAGCCAAAGTCCTCACCACAGCCCTCAGCAGCCCCATGAGCTCCAGACCCTGCCAGCAGGCCATGTTCAAGTCCTACCCCCCTCCCTTCCGGCCCTCCTCAGCTTCCCTGTCCTCTGTAGCAAATGGTACTCTTCTGACATATGGTGTATTTACTGTTCTGCTTATGGCCTTTGTCCCCTGCTAGATGCCTGCCTCCCCCATGGGCAGCGGCCTTGCTTTTTGTCTTCTGCTGTACCCTCAGCTCCTGGAACCCTGTGGGGCAGGGACAGAGACACCTGGCCCTTTAAACATCACTCCTGCTTGAAGGAATGCAGTGGAGCCCTGAGCTCCTAGGCCAGCTTCGCTGGGGGACCTCAAGCTGAGAGGCAGTTTCCTCTTCCCTTATAAGGAGAAACGGCACCTAGAGCCTCTCAGCGTGTCATTAGGATGAGCGACAGGCTCCTGCAGGACTGGGGGCCTGACTCAAGGTAGCTTCTCTATAAAGTTGAGTTACAATTGTTATTATTACTATTGCTGTGTGACTGGGGTTAAGTTGCTTAACCAGTCTGTGCCTCGGTTTCCCCATCAGTGAAATACGGGCGGTAAGAAGACCAGCCCCACAGGGCTGGCCTGGGGACTAAAGGCACAATCACACAGGGTTCAGCAAAGGCTTGGAACACATTAAGCACCACTATGATGGGGGCTGCATACAGGGAGATGCCGGTTCTGTGAGCAAGAGAGACAGGGAGAGAGGGACCCAGGTTTCAGGCAGCTGAAACCGTGGCTCAGTCCTCTCTAAAGTGATGACAGATTTTAGGCACCCGTGTCCCACCCCGGGCCACTCACAGTAAGAGGGAGACTGAGATGATCCTTTTCCTCGTTAGGCGATTCCTGTCTCTGCAGCTCACCCGTGGGCTCCTGGCAAGGAAGGACCCTGCAGGGAAATGGGCCACAGCAGTAGATGAGGGTTTCTCAACCTCAGCATCATTGATATTTGCGACAGGGCCCTCTTTGTCCTGCTGTGGGGGGCTGTTAGGTGCAGAAGTGTGAGATTTTAGCAACAGCCCTGGCCTCTGGCCACAAGACGCCTGTAGCATCCCCTACCCCAAGCCGTGACTCCCAAAATTGTCTCCCACTGGTGAATGGTACGGTATAAGAATTACATCTCAATAAAGCCTTTTTTTTTTTTTGGATTTTATTTTTCAGGGGATGCCTGAGTGGCTCAGTCGGTTAAGTGTCTGCCTTTGGCTTGGGTCATGATCCCAGAGTCCTGGGATGGAGCCCAGCATCAGGCTCCTTGCTCATCAGGGAGCCTGCTTCTCCCTCTGCCTGGACTCCCCCTGCACACACGCTCCCTCGCTCTCTCTGTTCTGACAAATAAATAAATAAATACTCTTTAAAAAAATAAGAGGTTTTTTTTTTTAAATAATCTCTACATCTAGTATGCAGCTCAAACTTATAACCCCAAGATCAAGATTTCCATGCTGTACTGACTAAGCCAGCCAGGCACCCCATAAAGCCCTTTTTTTTAAGTTCTCCATATATTGGGGTGTCTGGCTGGCTCGGTCAATAGCAGGAAATTCTTGATCTCAGGGTCATAAATTCCAGCCCCATACTAGGGGTAGAGATTACATAAAATAAAATGAAATAGAATGGAATAATAAAATAAAATAGGTAAAGTGGCTGGATGCCTGGGTAGATCAGCCGGTTAAGCCTCTGCCTTCAGGGCCGCCTGGGTGGCTCAGTGGGTTGAGGCTTCTACGTTCGGCTCAGGTCACAATCCCAGGGTCTTGGGATCGAGCCCTGCATCAGGCTGTCTGCTCAGCAGGAAGTCTGCTTCCCCCCCTCTCTCTGCCTACTTGTGATCTCTGTCAAATAAATAAACAAAATCTTAAAAAAAAAAAAAAAAATCCTCTGCCTCCAGCTCAGGTCATAATCTCAGAGTCCTGAGATCAAACTCCACATCAGGCCCTGCTCAGTGGGGAGTCTGCTTCTCCCTCTCCCTCTGCTTCTCCCCCTTGCTTGTGTTCTATCTCTCTCTCTCTCTCAGATAAATAAAAATCTTAAAAAAAAAAATAGGTAGGGGTCGGGGCGCCTTGGTGGCTCAGTGGATTAAGCCTCTGCTTTCAGCTCAGGTCATGATCTCAGGGTCCTGGGATCGAGCTCTGCGTCAGGCTCTCTGCTCAGCAGGGAGCCTGCTTCTCCCTCTCTCTCTGCCTGCCTCTCTGCCTACTTGTGATCTCTATCCATCAAATAAATAAATAAGTATCTTAAAAAAAAAAAAAAAGGTAGGGACACCTGGGTGGCTCAATTAGTTAAGCGTCTGCTTTCGGCTCGGGTCATGATCCCAGGGTCCTGGAATCAAGTCCCAGATTGGGCTCCCTGCTCTGCGGGGAGCCTGCTTCTCCCTCTGCCTCTCTTTCTCTCTGTCTCTCAAGAATAAATAAATAAAATCTTTTAAAAAATAGGTAAAGTGACAAAGGTTATGTATGCTTTACCCCAATAATTTTTTTTTTTTACTTCAGTGTATATATTCAAAAAAATGATTTCTACCAAAAAAAAAAAAAAAAGGCGGTGGGGTGGGGCACCCGTGTGGCTCAGTCGGTTAAGTGACTGCCTTCAGCTCAGGCCATGATCCTGGAGTCCCAGGATCCAGTCTGCATGGGGCTCCCTGCTCAGCAGGGAGTCTGCTTCTCCCTTAATTAAAAAAAAGAACAAAAACAAACCCAAAAAACTCTCCATACATGGCCCAATGTCCTTGGGAGGAACAAAATAAAAAACGTGTCTAGTTGAGAACCACTAGTGTAGACAAACAGGTGGGAGGGCAGATAAACACGGCTATTCAACTCCTGAACACAGTCACAACCCCACAGACAACCAGGGAAATGCAAATTAAAGCTCCAATGCTAGAAGACCCTTCACTTCCCAGGTGGGGTAAGACGCAAGGCTGATGAGGCAAGGTGTCTGTGCAGCTGTGGAGAAGCACCTTTGGTCCCTTTGGACTAAGGGCGTAAATCAGGGTCACAGAGGGCCAATGACGGTTTCTGTGAACACTGCAAAGGCTGCTGGTCCTTCAGCCCCTGGAAGAGCCCAGGGGAGGGGCCTTTGAACTGTCGACCTCTTTATGACTTTCACAGTCCTTTCACAAAATATTACTAGTCAAAGTAATATTTTTTTCTAAGATTTTATTTAATTCCGGTCATCTTTAGACCCAACATGAGGTTGGAACTCACAACCCAGAGATCAAGAATCCCAGTGCTCTACCGACTGAGCCAGCCAGGGGCGTCATCAAAGTAATTTTTAAATTCTAATTTCGAGAAGGAAGGGGCATACTGTAATGCTCCTATCTCTCTCGAAAAATGTTAGATTCTGGGGCGCCTGGGTGGCTCAGTTGTCGGTAAAGTGTCTGCCTTTGGCTCGGGTCGTAATTCCTAGGGTCCTGGGTCCTGGGATGGAGCCCCCGCTCAGTGGGGAGCCTGCTTCTCCCTCTCCCCTGCCACCCTCCCCATCCCCGCTTGCGCTCCCTCTCACTCTTGCTCTCTCAAATAAATAAATTATTTAAAAAAAAAATATTAGATTCCCAGGGCACCTGGCTGGGTCATTTGGTAGAGTTTGCACAACTCTTGATCTCAGGGTGGTGGGTGGAGACTACTTAAAATAAAATTTAAAGAAATAAAAATAAGAATGTCAGATTTCCCCTCGGGAATGTGAACTTCCTCTCCCATCCTTATCCACTCCCCAAACTTTCTGTACCAGCCCAGACCTTTCCTAGGGACGAGCTGCCAAGCCCTACAGTGGTGGTCAGATGGGATCCTTACTGGAAGTTAGCAAATTTCCTCTGTAAAGGGCCCAACAGTAAATACTTCAGGTTTTGTGGCCCACAGGGTCTGTCACAACTGCTCAACGCTGCCACAGTGGCAAGAAAGCAGCCATGGCCAGATACGTAAACAATGAACGTGGCCCTTCTTAAAACCTTACTTACCAGGAGGGACGCTGCAATTTGAATTCCATACAATTTCATGCACCCACACAGATTTCTTAAAATTTTCCAAGCACTTAGAAGTGTAAGACCCGCTCTTAGCTGGTGGGCCAGGCCAGACCAGGAGGCAGGCCACAGCTTACCCCGCCCGCGGCACAGAGGACGAAGGTGTGGATTCAGGGAGCCCGGTGGTTCTTCGGCCTCCCAGATTCACTACGAAGGATCTGGGCTGGTGACTGCGACTCTATAGGCAGCCTTCAGGCTCCGGTTCCTCATCTGTGAAATGAAGGAGGAAAGAAAAGAAAAAACTGACCTCCTAAGGTTTCCAGGAGAGGGGATCATCTTTCAGAGTGATCAGGCAAAGGACATCCCACGGTGTCCCGGACCCCTCCTCGCTTTCTCTTCCATCCATCCGTACAGCCCCTCAGCTCCACCTTCTAAGTCATATCCAGAACCCAGCAACTTTTCACGCTCTGCCCCACTCTGCTTCCTCTCCAGTCTGGTTCCGCCACCATCCCTAGTCACCTGGACTCTACCAGTCTCCTCCCCATCGGGCCCCCAGCTTCTACCTTCACCGTTCCCTGCGCAGACACAGCTATCAGAGAGATCCTGTTAGAACTAAGTCCCAACACACCCCTCCTTGGCTCAGACCCCCCCCTAGGGCTCCTACCTCCCCCAAGAGCAAAAAGCCCAAGTCCTTCCAGTGGCTACAAGACCCCTCTGACCTCGTATCCTGCCCCTCCACTCTTGCTCAGTCCACCAGTCTTTGAACATATCAAGAACACTCCTGGGGTGCCTGGGTGGCTCAGTGGCTTAAGCCTCTGCCTTCGGCTCAGGTCATGACCTCAGGGTCCTGGGATCAAGCCCCGAGTTGGGCTCTCTGCTCAGTGGGGAGCCTGCTTCCCCCCTCTCTCTCTGCCTGCCTCTCTGCCTACTTGTGATCTCTCCCTCTCTGTCAAATAAATAAGTAAAATCTTTAAAAAAAAAAGAACACTCTTGCCTAGAACCCTCTTCCAGATGGGAGTTTTATACATTTCCGGATCCAGGACTCATCTTCCCCTGCTCACTGCACTCAGGTCATTGCTCAAATGTCACCTTTATGGGGGGGGGGGACAGTAGCCCCTTCACCCTGCATTCTCCCGTCCGCATAGTACTATCCCCTCCTGACAATATGCACGCACTTGTTTACCTGCGTACTGTCGGTCTGCCACAGGACACAGGACTTTGAAAGGCCATGTCTGGTGATTTCACAACCCCATCCCAGCCCCACCCCTGAGCCAGGCAAACAGGGGGAGCTCAGTCAATCTTTGTTGAAGGAACGAAAAGATTCACCCATCCACGTTATCCAAGTGCCTGCTCAGTGCCCCGCCCACCTGACTTGTCTTTAGAGGATGCTGACCCGGAGTGGGCCGGGCTGGAAGGAAGGAGGCTGGGGGCCCTCAGGTATCCAGAGGGGGCACCAGCCCAGCCTAGGGGCGAGAGAGCGAGCTGGCCAGGAAGTCTGTTGCATTTGAGCACAGACCCAAATGGTATAAGGGACGGAGTCACGTAGAGATCTGGGGGGAAAGGTGTTCCCGTCAGTGGGAACAGCAAATGCAAAGCCCGTGGCAGGGAGGCCAACGTGGAGGAGGCAGGAGGCCGGAGCAGGGGCGGATCGTGCAGGAAAGGGCCTTGAAGAAGGAGGTGAGGACCTGGCTCTCTACTCTGAGTGAGGAAGGACAGATAGGACGGGACTTGGATTTTCACATGATCCCTCTGCCTGCTGCACGGGGACAGTGGATTGTGAGGGACACCGAGGGAGAAGCAGGGAGCCCGGTGAGGAAGCCACTGCAGTGGCCCAGGTAGGCAGAGGATGACGGTGCCTGGGACAGGTTGAGGGCCACGCAGGTGGGGAAAAGTGGTCAGATAAGAATTTATTTTGAAGGTTGAGAGCCCTCACTACTTGCTGTTGGACTGAGGGGAGGACCAAGACAGACTCTCAGCGTTTTCCCTGATGGGAAAGACCACAGTAAATGGGATTTATGGGATATATACATTTTCTTCTTTGAGTTTTTGGTTTAATCCCAGTTAGTTAATACACACTGTGATATTAGTTTCAGGTGTACAATATACGTTTTCTTTATTTGATTACTACCACTGCGAATGGGACTCAAGGATATACACATTTTTTAACCTATCGGACCACTGCAATCCCAAGTTTGGTCAAGAATCATCAGCCCCCAGGGCTCTCCTGCAACCTAGGTTAACACTTGAGTGATTTAAAAGAAACGCCCTACTCTCTAGGGCTGGTACTACATAAAGGATCGTTAGGAATTAATCAAGTGGCCACGAATGATGTTAAATCCCTGGATAAAACAAAAAAGCAAGGGTGAACCAGCGTACAGACCTGCTTTCTCCATTAGGGGAGAACAAATGGAGATTTGGTTAGCCCGAGAGATCCCCATTTTCCAGGGGAGGAAACTGGGACTGGGAAATGACAAATCATTTACTGGAGTGAGCTGGCTGAGCGGCAGGAAAAAGGGAGCAAAGCCAGGTTGGTCTGACAAGGGATCCGGCCATGTCCTTAGACAGCACTGAAGGGCCACCGGAGGTTTCAGAACCAAGGTGTGATCCGGTAAGAAACTGGTTTAGGAAAGGTCCTGCAGGGTGTGTTCAAGAAGGCAAAACCAGGCATTATCCATGCTCCCTGGTGATCAGGCTCCAGAATTCTTAATCTTTTCAGTTTCCAAGCCAAGGATTTCCCCCCCAGAAGATTTCAGAAAAATGTCCAAACCCATCCCCCACGACTTGAAAAACGATTTGCATAGCTAAAGACTCCAGAGCTCATCACTTGGGTCGTGGGCGAGGGCAGCAGATTTGCAGACCTCCCTTCCTGGGGCCTCTGGGCTGACTTCCAAGGAAAAGGCAATGGATCCGTTCAGTGGACGCTTCGCTAACTAACCCTTCCGTTACCAGGGCAGGAAACTAGCTAGGTTAGCAGGTTCACAGCGAAGACCCCCGACCCCGGCGAATGAACCAAGGGGCTGACGAGTCCACACAACCAGCCCCCACCCCCAGCTCCCGCACGGAGTCCCTCCTCTCCCCTCTGCCCCCTGCGCGGGTCAGTTCCCTTTCAATTCCGCCCTGGCCACCCACCGCTAGCCCTTTCTTATACTAAGTAGGTTCTCCCGGCCCCCGGGCGTCCATTCCCCACTCCGCCCGCGCTGGGTGTCCTCCCAGCTCAGATCGGGCGAGCGATTCCGTCCCACCACGGCGGGGCGTCAGGACTGCAGCCGCGGTCACTGCCCTGACCGTTGTCTCATCCTCTTCCCGGGAGAGGCGGGCCGGGGGCGGGGGGGTGGGGGAGGCACTGCGCGCTGCCCCGGCTCCTAGCCCCGAAGACCCGAGCGCGGGAACGTGCCGGGATCCGAGTACGGGTGCCGGCGCTCCGGGCGGGGTGGAGGGACCGGAAGGTCCTCCACGGCCGGTGTGGCAGGCGCGGACCTGCCCCTTTCCCGCCACTCCCGGCTCCGCACGCGGACGGGAGCTCCCGCCCCGCCACCAACACCCCGCACTCACCCAGGTCCGCGGCTACTGGCGCTCGCACTTCCGCCGGCGCCCAGGCTGCAGAGGCCCGGGTGGGCCGAGAGCCGCCCAGCCTGGGTTCCGCCCGCGCCGCCGCCCCAGCCCCAAGCCCCAAGCCCCACGTGGTGGCGGGCGGGCTCTCGCGCTCGGAAGCGGGCTCTGCTCGGCGTCCCACTCCGCCTGCGGCCTGGCCCCACGCTGCCCTCGGAGCCGCCCGCCGACGAGGTGGGGCCTGTCTGGGATGCCCGCTTCACGGAAGAAGAAACCGAGGTGCAAAGAGGTGCAGAGAAGACTTCCTCCCGGCTGAGTTAAGCGCGGCGCTTGGTGTTTGCCCCCCCACCCCCCTACACGTGCACACTCTTACCCTTCACCTGCCGTCCAGACCCCAGCCCCCCTTTCCTTGAAACGCCGCGCAGCCACACGGCGGGAAAGAGGCTTGGGAGAGCTGCTGCTGGGATGGAACCAAGGGGTGGTGGTTCTGTCCGGCACACCTCCCTGCAGCACCCCCGTTTTACAAAGGAGGAAACAGGCCTTGAAGGATGGAATGTCTGGCCTGAAGGGCTTGGGAGCCTCGTTCATCTGGGCTCAGACAGAATTCCCTTCTGCCACACTTTTTCAGTAAGGCGGAGGCTTCGTGGACCTCTCCACCCCACCAGATGCCCTGGCACACAGGCCCTCTGCCATACCTATGGAAGACTGTGCCAGATGCCCGGGTGGCTTAGTGGGTTAAGAGTCTGCCTTTGGCTCAGGTCAGGATCCCAGAGTCCTGGGATTGAGTCCCATGTGGGGCTTTCTGCTCAGTGGGAGTCAGCTTCTCCCTCTCTTTCTGGCTCTCTTGCTCGCTCTCAAATAAATGTCTTTAAAAAAAAAAAAAAAAAAGGAAAGAAAAACTGCAGAGCAGGAGCTCAATACAAATCTGTTAACTGAACTATGCAGGAGCAGGGCCCTGTGGACAAGGCTGACTTGGCTCCTGCCTGCTTAGAACCTATATTTTAGAAGGGCCGGTAGGGGCACATACAGGGTCTCCAGGAGCAAATACATCAACAAGATCCTTCAGGGCTTGTGATGAGTGATATAGAAGTTATAAAATAAGGGTCATGGTGGCCGTGAAGAAGTACCGTACCCTTAGGTATCAGACAGGGAAGCCGAGGGCCAGGGAAGAAGCGAGGACAGATGGAGGTCACGGTCCGAGGCCTCCAGCAGGGTGGGGCTACATTAGATACAGTGGTCAGGGAGGTCCTCTGCTCTCTGGAGGACAATTGAGCTCAGCCCTGAATAACAATATGAGGAACCTTCTGGCCTGGAGCAGTACTCTGGGGAGATTAGCATGTGAAATTCACTCAGAGCTGGGCCAGGGACGCCAGGGAGGACAGACCCTGGCCCTGACCTCAGGGGGCTTGTGTGGGATGGGGGTGGGGAGGAAGGGAGGACAGTCGACAGATAGGTCTACGTTCTGATGTGGCTGGTGCCAGGAAGAAGAAGAAACTCGTCAGGGTTGGAGGGTGGGGCTGGGTGTCGATGCCACTTCAAACAGTGATCAGAGTGAGCTGCTTTGTGGAGGGAAGTTCAAGGAGGCCTGAGCGGGGCCGCGGAGGTGGGGGGGCAGTGAGACAGTTGCCTGTTTGGTTTGAATGGTGATTCCAGAGCAGAGATCTATAGGGTCACAACCCTCCTCGCCTTAAACCACTCAAGGCTCTGGTCTCAGGAAACCCAAGACCTTAAAGCGATCATAAGACCCTCTAGGGTCTGACCTCATTTTCTCAGAAAACTCAAATCACCCACGCCTCTCCCCATGCCCAACCCCCTTCCTTGTTATTCTAGAACGCGCAAGGCCGGTCTCAGTTCCACCAGGCTCTGCTCTGGAGAGAAGGGACCCTCCCGACCCCACCCCAGCAACCCCGTCCCTTTGCAGCCCCTCCTAGCTTTATTTTGCCCCACTGCGCTTGTCATCCTGGGAGGCACTTACGTTTTGCAGTCACCTTGAGAATCTGTCTCCCCGACAAAGAAACTGCCTGAGGCCGGGGATTATTACTTTCTGTCTTGTTCCCTGCGATATCCTCCGTGCTTAGAACAGAACCCAGTGCACAGTAAATGCTCAATAAATGTTGGCTCACAGAATTTTTATTGTAATGCATTTAATGAAACCGTCCGGATTACTCATAGGCGCCTAGCGAAAAACGTGGCCCCTACTGTTTTTCTCTCTCGGGGGTGGGTGTGGGCACCCTGTGCCTCAGTTACACCGGCCCCAAGGCCGGATCAGGAATAGCTGTTTGCGCGTGTACTCGCGTGGCCTCGGCGTAATTAAGGTTCGGTCCCTAAGAAAATGCAGTGGTCTCGGCTTTGATGGAGTTTGGCAGCGGCCCGGGGCCCCTGTGGGGGCCGCCCCGTACTCTCCCGTCAGGCCCCGCCCCGGTGGGCGGAGCCACGGGCCGGGCCAGCACGTGTAAGAGTTCGCGGCCGGTCTCCGCAGTCACTCACCTGAGCGCATCGGACTGAGCGCGCACCGCCCGCGCGTCCTCCGCCCGCCAGCCCGCCAGCCCGCCAGCCCGCCCGGCGCTCGACCCATGTCCCGCCGCAAGGCCGGCTGCACGCCCCGCCGAGTAGACCCCGCGCCCGCCTCCAACACAGACGACGAGATGGAGATGCCGGACCTCGTCATCGAAGTGAAGCCCGAGCCAGACGCGCGGCCCCTACAGGCCCCGGGGCTTGGGCCCTTCTCCCCGAAGGAAGTGCCCGCGTCGGGGCGGTTCGACGGCGAACCCCGCCACTCCCCCGGCCCCGCGCCCGCCGGGAGCCCTCTCCACTCCCTGGGCGCGCGGAACCAGTGGGCGCTGTGGACGCCACTGAGCCTCAGCCCTCGCGGTGAGCGCCCTCTACCCCTGCCCCGCCTCTCTCCCCCTTCCCTCGGGGGGTTGGGGGGTGGGACGCCCTCCCTCGGGCGCCGACCGCCGACCCCTTGACCCTGCCTCATTTGTGTTGCGTGCTCCCGGCCTCCAGCCCCCATTCTGACCTTCGGGTTTTCCCTCTCCCTCGGAACCCCCAGGCCCCATCGTGGCCCCACCCCACGCTTACCACCCGCTTCCTCCCAGCAGACCGCCAGCCCTGGACCGACAAACACCCGGATCTGTTGACCTGCGGCCGTTGCCTGCAGACCTTTCCGTTGGAGGCCATCACTGCTTTCATGGACCACAAGAAGGTGGACTGTCAGCTTTTCAAAGGGCCCAGCCCCTGCCAGGGCTCAGGTGAGTCAAGCGGGGATGCAGTCCCCCTCTCAAGTTCAAGGGCCCGGTTTCCTGTGGGAGCAGGAGCTGAGCTGGACAGGCGGGGCAGTGAGCACTACTTCCCCTTTCTCGCTCCCCATCGGGTGTAGCCTAGGCGTGGCCAGGGCCTGCCCTGTCCTAGGGCTGGGACTAGTTGGGGGGGGGGGCGGGGGCTGGGCCTCTCGGAGGGCCGCCCACAGGGTGTGGCCAGCCCCTGAAGACTGGTCTGGGGATTTGCCACACTCACACACCCCCCCCAATCTGGTTTCACTTCTCCTTCCCCTTGGCCAGAAATAACTGGCCAGGTGGCTGGACCCGTGTGGCAGTAGGGGGACCTCTGGGGAGGGCAACAACCTGGGGGAGGGGAAGCTGAGGCCAGCTGGAAGTGTAGCATGGCCACCCCATCCCACCTCTTGATAACTTTGGATTCCAGGCGCTGGTGCGCTTGCTCAGAGCCAGGGAAGGGGCCTCTGGCTTCCCTCTCAGAGGGAATCTCCCAGCCCTGCACACTGGGAAGCCCCTGGTTTGGGCCAGGTCCTGGGTGTCTGGACACCTGGGTTCCTTCTCTTGGGAGGGAACCAAAGCCCTTGACCTGATACTAGACTCATGGTGAGCTTCTGGTCATCAGAGGCTGAGGCGCCTCTGAACCTGCACATTTCCACCCCCTGGCCCATGTGGTCTAGGATATTTGATAGATGGAATTATATTCAGGCCCGGGCTGGAGGCTGGAAGGTCCTGTAGTAGGGGAGGGAAAGGAGGGACTGTGAATTAGCTGTAGACTTGAAGCAGCTGGTGATCTGGTGGCCCAGGGAGGGGCGTTGGTGGAATCACTGAACACCCCAGGTACTTGGACTTGGAGCAGTGTGGGCACACCTCAGCCCTCTGGGCTCAGCTCATGTTTACTGAGGGCTGACATGGACCGGAACTCTCAGCTCTTCTCCATTTGAGGTCGCAACAACCCTAAAAGGAAGAGGATCCCCAGGATCCCCATATTCTGACGAGTAAGAAAACTGAGGGCCAGAGAGAAGGGTTTCTCGCCCAAGGTCACACAGCTAGGGAGCTGGAGAACCAGCTGGAAGTCAGGCTGGGCTGGCACTCTCCAGCTGTCTTCTGAGCTCCTGACCCTGGCTGGTGATGCTTCAGGAAAGCCGCCCCCGTCCCAGACGGTCTAGAATTTGGAAACTCAAGGCAAACACTTTACTGGTAGTACCTGGAGAGTCTAGAGAAAACATCCAATTTGGAGGGTTCTTACTTTCGGGTGCATGAGGAGGGAGGGGGACCTCACTGCCCCACCCCGACCTCTAGGTGGCTGCTTTGCCTTCTCCCCACTTAGGCCTCGGCCCCATCTTCTACATAAGGCAGGGAATAGGAGACCACCCGTGAAATCCATGAACTTGGAGCCTGGTGCAGAAACCCACTCAGTAATCATCCCAACAGTCTTTTTTGAAAATCTGTCTCACCCTCCCCAGGTTTCTGCATTGAAACCCCAGCTCTGCCCTTCTAAGCTTGTGACCTCGGAGAAGTGTATCTGCCTCAGTTCTCCCATCTGGAAGACAGAGGTCTTGTTTCTTGTCTAGGTGGGAAGTTGAGTGGGGGTGGGGCATGGCCCGCCCCCAGCACCCAGAATTCCAGGTCTCCAGTAAGGCCTTCCTGACCCTTTCCCCCATAGAAAATAGCACTCCTCCCATCCCTCGCTCTGCTTTCCTTTTTCTTCTGGAAGACTCTCAGACACCGAGAATCCCCAGGTCGTCGTCATCCACTCCACAGATTTTCCTTGTCTGTCCGTCCACGTCTGCCCCTCGGCTTCTGAGGATAGGGAGTTTCTGTCTTCCTGCAGTGCCTTCTCAGCCCCTGAAACAGGGCCTTCCCTGCAGAAGGCGACCAACTGGCAGGTGTGAGTGGCACCCCCGGCTTTCCTCCATCTCCCTAACACCGGCCCTTCTCTCTGCAGAGCACAAGGACCCCAAGGCCTTGAGCTGCTTCCGCTGTGGGAGACAGTTCACGGGGGCCTGGAAGCTGCTGCGCCACGCCCAGTGGGACCACGGACTGTCCATCTACCAGACGGAGCCCGCGGCCCCCGAGGCCCCGCTGCTGGGCCTGGCGGAGGTGGCCGCCGCCGTGTCGGCGGTCGTGGGGCCCGACGCGGAGGCCCAGAGCCCGCGGGGGAGCGTCCTCCCCCGGCGGAGCCCCACCTGTCCTGTGTGCGCCAAGACCCTCAGTTCCTTCAGTAATCTCAAGGTGCACATGCGTTCGCATACTGGAGAGCGGCCATACGCCTGCGACCAGTGTCCCTACACCTGCACCCAGAGCAGCAAGCTCAACCGCCACAAGAAGACACACCGGCAGCCACTGCCCCAGAGCCCCTGCAGGGCCGCTGCTGGCGGGGAGCAGGCCTCCGCCGCTGCCCCTCCGGAGCCAGCTGCGCACGCCGCTGCCCCGGCCAGCACCCTCCCGTGCAGCAGTGGGGAAGGCGCCGGGGCTGCGGCCACTGCGGGCGTCCAGGAGCCCGGGGCCCCTGGCGGCGGGGCCAGCTGGGGGCCTGCCCCCAAGGAACAGAGAACCGAGCCTGCCAAGAGCCAGCTGTCCCCCAAGAAGATGCCCAAGCCACTGGGCAAGAGCCGAGGGCCCGGGGGCAGCTGCGAGTTCTGCGGGAAGCACTTCAGCAACAGCAGCAACCTGACGGTGCACCGGCGCTCGCACACCGGCGAGCGGCCCTACGCCTGCGAGCTCTGCTCCTACGCCTGTGCGCAGAGCAGCAAGCTGAACCGCCACCGCCGCATGCACGGCCCCGGGCCTGGCAGCACCCGCTTCGAGTGTCCCCACTGCTGCGTGCCCTTCGGCCTGCGCGCCACCCTGGACAAACACCTGCGCCAGAAGCACCCTGGGGCGGGCGGAGAGGCCTGAGCTGTCAGAGCGCCCTCCGTGCTGCTCCCGGGACCACCGGGACCGCCGCTGGGCACCCTCCCTGGCCTTCCTCTGCTGCAAGTAAATTCTCCTGCCTGGTTACACACGTGTTTGGACTCTGGCTTTCTTGGGGTGTCTGAGGTGGGGCGGGTGGCTTCCCTCCTTGGGGTGGACGGCTGGACAGACCGGTTTCGAGAGGGGGAGGGGAAAGGCCAGCTCCCAGCGCCCCGGGCACAGCAGGACTGGCACAGAAAGCCGTGCTCCCGGTTCCCAGTGTGGGCGAGGCCAGGGCAGGGGCCGAGGCGAGGGTGGGGAGAAGCCTGGACCTGTCACCAGAGGCCCCTGGGCAAAGTCCTGGCCCGGCCTCTACATGCTGGGTGCTGGGCCCTTCCTGGCTAAGCCCAGAGTGGGCCCCTGCCTTCGCTGAGCTATGGCAGGAACGGTGCTGCTGACCCAGGAGCCACCACCCTGACACCCACGTTGGGGCAGGACTTGCCACAGAGGCTCCTAGTGTTGGCTCCCATGCCGGAGCCAGCTCCCTCCCCAGCTGCCTCTGCTGGCCAGACCACACAGATGACACCGAGCCCAGGTCAAGGGAATTAAATAACGAGTGATTTTATTTCATTAGAGATCAAACCAGCAGCATCACAGCCTGAGCCCTCACCCCCCCCATCCCCCTGCCCCCCACACTTCTGCCTAATGTCGATAATGGGGACTTCGAGATCGGGACCTTGAGCGCCTGCAGAGAGAAAGAGGGGCCCCGTGAGGGCTGGGAGGAAGCAGCCACATGGTATGCACACACCCCACAAGCTTGTGACCCCTGGGACGTTGGCGATGGGGGAGCGTGCTGCAGAGGGAGGGACATTAACAAGGGTTGAGGCTCCAGCCTGTGCAACAGGAGGGCTGCCGGGTGGAGATGGAAGAATCAGGGCAGGGACAAGGTCGTCTTCCAGGGAGCTGGGCCTGCTGGCTTACCTTCGGGAAGAGCTGTATTCTCGACCTGGAAAATTAAGAGAACAAAGCCAATGCTCAGGGACCAGGCCCCCGGGGCTGCCTCTGGCTGAGGAGACACCTGTGCCTCCAGCCAGTCCCCTCCCCTCAGCACCCGAGGGCCCCACTCCGCAAGGAGCACTGCTTCTAAAGCCTGCCGTTCCCTGCGTCTAAGCCATCACATTGGTGCGCGTGTCTTAAGAATTCTAACCCACGGAAAACCACGGCGGAAAATGCACCAGGTTTCCTGCAGCCCGATTTCGGAGTCTAGCACTCCTGGCCAAGTGGCCGTAGGGATACTCACTGTAACGGGGGGAGGGTGAGCGGCTCTGTCGGCTGTACTGGCGTTCCCATTCTTCTCGCTCCTTCTCTCTACGTTCCCGCTCCCTGCAGGGGGAAAGGGAGGCAGCCCAGGAGCAGGCGTGAGCACGTGAGAACACTGAACTGAAGGGCGCGGCTGGGTTGCCTGGCCAGAGCAGGTGCTTCCAACATCCCGGCCCAAGTAGCAGAGGAAAGCTGCAGGCAGACAGTGCTGCTGTCCTTGCTCGGACACGAGAGCACTGGGCTCAGAGGAATACCGGCTGGGGAGAGTGGGACAGATCTCAGCCAGCTTCGCTTTGAAAGGAGTGCTGAACAGACATGGGACTGAGCTGGAAAGTTCAACCTTCACCCATCACACTCAGGTAGTCTCAAACACAGGGACCCACTAAGTGCTTCATCGGCCTTTGTCAGGATGCCCGGGACTTGTGACCCCAAGGGCTGTATTTACTGGGCCCCCTGTGTTTTCCTGACCTGGATCCACCTGAATCCACCCAACAGCCTGTGAGCTGGGACAACTATTCCATCCCCATTTAGCAAAAGAGCAAACTGAGGTGCAGACACGAAAAAGCTCGTGGTTAGTGGAGGCAGGCTCAGAATCCAGCTCCGACTGACCACAGTGCTGAGTCCCCGGGGCGCCCTGCTTCCCCAGCTGATGGAGGCAGGCCGCACCCTGAGGCCCAGCACATGATGGGTGTGCGCCGAACACAGTGATGAGACAAGCAGCAGCCTGCAAACATGCGGGGCCCTGCGGAGGAAGCCAGGCAGCAGGGACCCCAGGAGAGGAAGAGGAAGGAGCCTCGGCTCAGAGGAATGAAGCTGCTCGTGAGCTCATGAGGACTGACAAGCAAGCCGCTGGAGACATGGCCGTGCTGCTGACAGATGGGCCCTCCTCGCCAGCACTGAGCACTCAGGTCTCTACTTCTGCCCACCGGCCCTGCACAGGCCTGCGCTCTCGGAGCAGGCACGCCCCAGCTACCCTGCTAGGTCGTCACCAAGGTCTGTCCCGGCTGCAAAGGATGAAGTGAGGCCTGAGAGGGCCGGTGCCCACCCTGGGGGCCCACGGTCACAGAAAGGCAGAGCCGGGACCGGACCCCACGGCTGCCTGGTCTAGGATGCAAGCCCGACCCCTGTGTAGTTAAGAGCCGAAAAACAGAAGGGGAGCAGGTAGAAGCTGTCACGGGGCTGGCCTGCTGAACACCACCTCTGATCTGGGGGCTGGGCGCACAGCAGCAACCTCGCAGTCTGACCTGCCCGCTCGTCCCCTCTCAGGCGACATCACCCACAAGCAAGGAAACAAAGCAGGGCATGCCAGGTGGAGGTCAGCGTTCTGAAAAAAACACGGCAGGCTGGGAGGATGGCGGGGCGTGGGGTGCTACTCCAGACAGGATGGTTGGGGGGGACCCCTCAACGAGAGAAGCCAGAGAGGAGAACGCAAAGGCCCCGTGCATCCCGGCCAGCACAGTGGGAGGAGCCATGGCAGCCAAAGCCAGCAGGCTAGCAAGGCCAAACGGGCACTCGGACCTTTTCCCACATGAGGGCTGGGACAGGCAGCAGGGCTAGGAGCGAGGTGGTGGGGGAAAGGAGGGCAGTCCAAAAGTGGGGGGCTGCGGCCCAGATATGGGAACCATGATGGTCTTACTTCATGCGGATCTTGCGGGCCATGGCTCGAAGCTCGTCTTCCCGCTCCTGTTGGGCGGATGTGGCCATGAGGGCGGGCAGGCTGGCACCCGGCCCCACGCCCAGCCCTCACTGCCACCCTTACCTGCCGCTCATGCTCCTGCTGGATCATCTTCTCCTGGGCTGCCTTCTTATCCGCCTTGACTGTGGGGAAGGAGGAACGTCATGGTGGCCGAGGGGTACCCCCAAAAGTACCCCCCCTTCAAAGACAGCAAGACTGAACCCAGAGAGACCAACCAGACGGCCATAGCACTTAGCAGGGGAGCACCAGAAGGGCATGCACAGTGAGTACCCCCCAGAGTGCCACTGTGCGGACGCCTGCCTGGCCGGGAGCGGGCGAGGCCCCCAGGCTAGGCTGGTGGGCAGAGGCGCGGAGACCAGGGACGGGGTGAGGCAGGGAGACATACACTGCCTGTTCAGCGCTTTCTGCATCCTCAGCTTCAGCTTCTCCTGTGGTGTCAGCTTGGGCTGGGGAAGGGGGAGAAGAGGCGGGAGAGGGGGTGGGTGTCCGGAGCTCCTACCACCCACCTCATCCAAGAACCTGGGACTTGCGGGGACATGTGGGTAGCAAGAATTGGCTGCAGACACCCCCCATAAGCGTCTGGGAGGCCTGGGGACAGCTGGAGCCCCAGTGGACAGTGAGGAGGTGAGGAGGACACAGACCTCACAGGTCAGAGGATTCCCGGCCCGCTTCAACCCCAGGGCTGGATCTCCCGGCCCCCCCCCCGGTCCCCCCTGCAGGCCCACCGGGCCCAGCTCTCGGGCACTGCTGCTGGCGGGAATTAGACGGGCGAGTTCCAAATTCTTACTGACTTTGGCAGCTCCTGTCTCTTTACCAGCGGCAGGTTCGGTCCTGGGAGGAAGAAAGGGTGGCTGCCACCTCAGACCCCAAGCCACTTCACCACCGCCCACAGGGAGGGATCATGTCCCTCTCGGATCCCTCAGGACGGGGCCGTGTCCCCTCAGACCCCCCAGGGGCACAGCAATGCCCCCTCAGACATCCCGAGGCAGGACCAAGCTCTCTTCCAAGAGCAGAGCAGAGCTCAGCCACCTTCCCCGAGGCTGCCCGCTCTCTTCCTGCAGCCCTGCCCCAGCTCACTTTTTCAGCTTCTCGCCCACAGCGGGGGACGCTGCCGGCCTGGTCAGCTTCTCCCTCGGGGGCGATGGCGAGCGGCTCTGGCTGCGGCTGCGGCTGCGGCTGGGGCTGCGGCTGCGGCTACGGCTGGGGCTGGGGCTGCGGCTACGGCTCAGGCTGCGGCTGCGGGACGGGCTGAGGGACCAGCTGCTGCGGCTGCGGCTACTGCTGTGGTGCCGGGGACCCCGGCCGCCCCGCCGGTACCGGTCCCCGGAGCGGGAGCGGCTCCTGGGGGCATGGCAGGGCGTGGGGAGCCATGAGGAGCTGGAGACCCCCTCCACACACCCCCAGCCTGGCTCAGAAACTACAGCCCTCCCCTTGGGCCCTGCGGAAGCTCCGGGTGTGACCACCCATGTGCTCCCCGGCTGCTCCCTGGCCTCGATCTGTATCTACACGGAGCCCACCCTCCAGATACAACCACCCGGAGACAGCTCCTGCTTCTCACTCGGGAGACACACACTCCCCTGCTCCCCTGGGATGTGACCCGGCTGACAAGCGCTCCTTTTATACACACAGTGCCCAGCTCCAGGCTCCCAGGGGCTGTGACCTCACTCACACCCCCAGCACACTCCTCACCTTGCTGGGGTCCAGTGGGGACCACACCCTTGCCCACTCTTTCCACCCATCTACAGCACAGACCCATGAGACCCAGTTGGGGCACATGCAGTCCCATCTTCTCTCTGTTTGGGATGCTGGGCACTTCTTGGCAAGGGCTCACCCCCAGGCTGATGTTCGAGATGGGGCCAGGCCCCCTCCCGTGCCCAGCCTTTCTCCTGTGGTAGCCCTGTGTCAGGCTACAAAGAACAAGCCGGAAGCCAAGTCTAGGCCACACACACATTCTACTGGGGCTAACCAAGTTTTTAGAAAACTCAAATTTGTGGGCAACGTTGACAAAATGAACTACCTTTTAAAAACTGACTCTCAACTTCTCTTGAGAAAACAAGCCAGGACAACACCAGGCCTGCCACTGCACAACCGACAACCTGACTAGAGGGGACACGTGTGCCCCAGTCCATCCAGGCCCACCTGGTCCCTTTATTTTACCTGCCAGGCCCTGTAGGAACTGACGCTGAGACGCAGGCCACAAGACAAAAGACAAGGCTGGTAGCAGTGGCACCCGCCCAACACTAGGCCCTGTACCCAGCACTCACGTGCATCACTTGTCACACCTTCACAACGACTCCACAAAGGGAACGCTATCCTTCCTTTACACGGGAACAACCAGGAAGTTTCTGAGCAGGGCCAGGATTTGAAGCCAGGCTCACCCACTGAGACGCACCGACATGAGGCAGCTCCGATCCCACCAAGGGAGAGCCCAGGAAGGCCGCTCCGCTCCTCAGGGAACTCGCTTCCTACCCTGTCTGCAGCATCTCTCTACCGCAGAGGGAGCAACCCAGCCCTGGAGGCCAGCCAGGTCCCCACTACAAGCCCCAGGACACCCTGGAGTGTCCACATACCTCTCTACACCTGGCCCCAGGGAACCGCGCACCCCCACCCCGAGGGAGGACCAGCTCAGTCCCCTGAGAACGTAGCTGTGCTCCAGCCCTCATCACCACATGGGAGGAGTGGGTGGGGGCACATCTCCCCTCCAAACTGAATGCTTCCTCACACACTGGCAGTGGCCCATTCCCCTCCCTTAGAGCCAGGTCTGACTGACCCGGGGCTGTGCCCTCCCCCAGACCCCCCACACATCAGCGCCACACACCTGCTTCTGCGCCGGGGCCCATAACCACCGCGCCGGGCAGGCGAGCGCGAGTACCGGTGTCCATCTCGGGAGCCCCCGCCAGAGTGCCGCCGGCCACGGCTCCGGGAGCGCGAATAGCGCCGGGAACGGGACCGAGAGCGAGACCAGGACCGGGAGCGGGAGCGCGCATGGCGGCCTGAGCGGTAGTAGCCCCCGCCTCGGCGGGAGCGGGAGCTGGAACGGGAGCTGGAGCGGGAGCTGGAGGTCCTCGAGGCGGAAGAGGAGGAGGAGGAGGAAGAGGAGGAGCGGCGGCTGCAGGCGGGGCACGGAGGGCCGGTCAGCACGGGCCTGGGCCAGGGCCCCCCACTGCCCCGTGTCCCCCCCCATGGTGGCCCGGGCGTAGGGCAGGCAGCGTGAGCGTTACCGACCGGGCGCTGGCATTACGTCCCGGTGCGGGGCCGCCGGGCTGGGGGGGTGCGGGGGGCTTCCCTGTGGTGGCCCCTGATGCGGCTGCTGCCGCTGCGGCCGCAGCTGCCTCCTCATCGCTGCCCCCAAAACTGGTGATGAACGTGATCTTCTCCTCACGGCCTGGGGTCGGGGAGCGGGAACGGGAGCGGGACTCGGAGCTGGACTCAGAGGGTGACCTACGGAGCAGGGAAGAGAGGACTCAGCTGCCCGGCTCTCTGGGAGTCCACAGGCTGACACGCATGGTGCAGAGCCCCACAAATGAGCACTGTTGGACACTCAGCACCAACACACCTGGCCGAAGGGCAGAAAGGAACCCAGCTATGCAAGGGCTTAACTCAGCCACGGAGCCTCCGCAAAATATGCAAGAAAGAGAGCGACAACGAGTTGTACTGATTTCGTGTTAACTATTAAAGAATAAGGAGCAGGGGTGCCTGGGTGGCTCAGTGGGTGAAGCCTCTGCCTTCAGCTTAGGTCGTGATCTCAGGGTCCTGGGATCAAGCCCCGCATCAGGCTCTCTGCTCGGCGGGGAGCCTGCTTCCCCCCTGGCTCTCTGCCTGCCTCTCTGCCTCTCTGTTAAATAAATAATTAAATCTTTAAAAAGTATATATATAATAAAAAAGGATGAGCAGATCTGCAGATTTAACCTGGGAGGATCACTTCAACATAGACGTCCATCAAGCAATTCTACACCGTTAAGCGCGGCACAATCCCGTTGTTATAAAAAGAAAGTACCCATGTCCTCGGATTGAGTGTCTACCTGCACTGACCTTGTACCCAGAGGTACCTGTCTCGTCTCCTGTCCTCCCAAGAGCCCAGAGAGGCAGGTCCCTCCCACCGCATTCTAAAGAGGGTACCGGGGTTAGGCTGACGTCTGTCCCTCTTCAAGGCCCACGCCCCATCACTCCCACAGCCCAGAGACACCTGTGTGCGAGGCCGGGCCCTCGTGTGCAGAGTCTCTCGCTGCTTATTTCTGGGAGTTTAGATCAAAAACACTTCTGATTTCTCTAACAGACCTTTTTGCCACGCTTGGTCATTTTTAATACATGACTACATTTTGTTTAATTCAGAAAAAAAAAAAATAAGGTTCATATTTAAAGAAAAAAACACTGGGAAAGCAGAATAACATTGTGGAAATCAGAATAACGATCCAGACCCACAAATGACAGCGGGTGCTGAGAACCACTGCCCCCGCCCCAGCCCTGCCCCTCCACCAGGTTTGCTGGCTGCCCCTCCTTGGGCGCTGGGAACTCACCGCTTATAGGGATCGTAGGTGGGGCTGTCTCGGCGGGCATAGCTATGGAAAGAAGAGCAGAGTAGGACAAACAGGGGCTTGGGATCCAAGTGGGTATAGAACCCAAGTGGGTTCCATTCACCCAACCAAGGAGCCCAAGGGCAGATACTGGGCACTGTGAGTAGGGGGCTGCTAGCCAGGTTTTAGGCCCTGCCTTGATCCCTCTGCCTACCCACCTCTGATCTGTGCAAAGCAGGGACCTTGGCCACACCCCACAAACAATGTCCTGGGCCCCTCCCGACCCTGGGCAACAGAGACTCCAGCAGCCTGAGTCCTGCTTGGGCTCTAAACCCCAGACGGCAGCATCCCTCCTGCCACTCCAAGTCCCTGGTCCTGCAACCTGGATCCCAGCTCGTTCATGAGAGCGATGGTAAAACCAGAAGCACCACGGTGTCTCAGATGCTCACTACGTGCCGGGCACTGAACGCTTCACTTCTATGAACATAGCCACTTTTCATGACAACTCTCCGGGGTCATTCACAGCTCAGAGCTCAGGAAACCGAGGCCCAAAACAGAAGAATCACTTGCCCAGCGTCACACAGCTCATAAATCAAAGAGCTGGGCTCCCCAGCCAGGCCCTGCGGCCCCAAGCCCACACCTTTATGTGCTACACTGACTGTACCCCCACCAGGAGGAGGACGATGCCAACAACCAGTGAAGCTTTCCCGGACCCCACACCAGGCTGCTTAAGGCCCACAGCTACCCTCAGGGACTCTCCCTGCCCGGAGGCGGGGGAGCAAAGAGGCATGAGTTTGCACTCAGCCTCCGGGGCTGACAGGCAGAGGCAGGCTCGTCTGGAGGCCGCTTGACCTGGGCAGACTCTGTGCCACACCAGGCCATCTCCTCCCAACCTGCTCCAGATCTCAAAGTGGACACTGGTGCGCCCCAATCCTTGGAGATCACAGTGCTTTTTCCAAAAGAGAAAACTGAAACTCGAGGGAAGTTACTTGCCCCAAATCTGACAAGGACATGGCCCAGGAGGAGAACCAGGAAGGACTTCAGGGACAGGGCTGTTCCCCTTGACTCTGCCCTCTAGTCTTCAGCTACCCCACACCAACTCCCCACTGGTGCCTGGGACACCTGGCAAGAGTCCAAGTCCAGAAGGGTGAGGGGAGTGGCTGGCAGGGCAGGGTGTCCACAAGGCCATCCCTACCCTAAACCTTCCCCGTTTCCTGCCCTACCATGAAGACTCTGTTCGCAAGTCCAAGCCTAACCCTAAAGAGTCTCCTTGAACCCCAGCCCCTCCCCCAGGGCCCTGAGTGAGGCTGGAAGGGCAGGGGCGGAGGGGAGAGCTCACTCTACCTGGGTGGGCTGATCTTCCGGCCCCTCAGTCGCTTCTCCCGGAACTCCCTCCGCTGGCGCCGGGAGCGGCGGCCCTGGAGGAGGGTGGACACCCTGCTGGTGAGGGACGTGCCTCCCTGAGCCACACTCGCCCCACTCCCCACGCCGGCCCAGCCCTCACCGAGTACATGGCCTTCTCTTCCTCAAGGGCCTTGGCATGCTTGATAGCCTCTGCCTCCTCCTTGTCTTTCCGGAGCATCCTGTAGAGGAAGGGGGTGGTCACAACGGACAGGGAGCAGGCCACAGGCAGAACTGTCGCCGGAAGGCAGAGATCCCATGCCATCCTGGGGTCTCTCCTTCGTTCAGTGCTACTACTGAGCAGCTACTGCATGCAGGCGCTACTGTGCGGACTGGGGATTCATTACTGAAAACAAAAATCCTGGCCCTCGTGGGCCTACGTTCTGGAAGAAGATAACGACCCAGGCAACATGACAAATAGTAAGTTAAACACTGAACACCTGGCCGGGAAGATACACTGCAGATGGGGGAAGGAGGACCAGGGGACGGGTGGAGCTGCAGCTTGCCACGAGAAGGTCAGGGGACTGAGGAGAAACCACAGGGAAGAAGCAACACAGATGCCAGCAGAGCCACCGCGGCAGGCAGCGGTGGGGAAGTCTGAGGGCAGAGAGGAGGCTCAGGAGGGAGGAGGCACAGAGGCAGAGCTGCGGGGGCAGAGCGTGCGGGCTGAGCAGAGGAACAGACAGCACCTCGTGGCCGAGGTAAGGACTCCGGCTGCCCTAGTGCCAGGGCCCTCATGGAGGGTTCTGGGTTCAGATGGGATCCTCCAGATTCACACTGGACACCCTGTCCGCTGGGGCGGCTGTATAGGATCTGCACAAGGTAGGCCCAGGGAATGGGCCGGTGAATGGAGCCTCCTCTCCACCAGGGGGTGCTGTCCACCAGGCCCAGGAGCCCCGGGAACTCTTAGGGGTCAGAGGGCCACAGGACAGACACATGGAGCTGGGCTCAGCCTGTTTGTGCAGAGGCAAAGCCTGGTGCTCAGCACCCATCCCAGGAGCTCAGGCGCCCGTGTGTGTGAAGCACTCGTGCTGAGGAGGGAGGCGGCCGTCCACAGCAGGGTTAACGACAGACGCCAGGCCCTGAGCGTGGAGGAGCGCCAGCCGGCAGGCCTCACCTGACGAAGTCGCCGTCGGCCATGCCGTAGGTGGTGGCCTGCTTGTTGAGATCCGCCACCTGTTCCTGGTTCAGTTCGTCCACATCCACCTCCACGTCTGCACCAAGAGAAATGCTGTCAGAGGCCAAAGCCGAGCGAGAGGACCAGGGAGAAGGGGCAGCGCCCCGGGAGATGGGGGCACAGGGGAGATGCCCACGAGACTGGAGGCCTCTACAGGCAGGGAACGAGTCAGCTCATCTTGGAATCCCCGGGCTGGCACGGGGCTTGGCCGGAGGGGAGCACGACCAACAGCAGGGGCGGTGGGGGGGGGGGGTGGGGGCAGAGAAGATGTGACGAATGAGGGCCCAAGTGAGCATCAGGATGGACAGGCAAGACCAGTGGACTGAGCGATGTACGATGTGCGGATGGGGACAGATTGAGGGGCGGGTGAGGGTGGGCAGGAGGTGGGGGGGGTGGTCACAGGTGTTCAGGACCTAGATGCACTATGAGTAAGTGGAAGGCGGAATGGACACCTTCCAGATGTGTGATAAGCAGCAGTGGGCTGACAGGAGGCGGGGAAGACAGGAGGATGGCTGGAGCCGTGGGTATTTGGGTGGGGGGAGAATGGCAGTGCGGGGGGGATGATTCTGCAACTGAATGAACACTTGCTCTCCAGAGGAGACAGAAAAAGAGGAAGACAGAAAGGCTGACCCAAGCAGAAGAGAACGGAGACAGAACCCAGGTGGGGACAATATCATAAGAGCAGTATCCTAGAAATGAGAGAGGAGAGATACAGAGAGGGAGGCCGGCACAGAGGAGCACACGAGTGAGGACCGGGAGGACGGCAGAGGCTGGAGTGCCCCAGAGCAGGGACGGGAGAGACGGGGCTCGTCAGTTTGGGGCGCCCCACAGAGGGTGAGGAACGAGACACGAAAACGCTGCCCAGGGACTGCGGGGTTGGGGAGGGCAGAGAGGGGACCCCACCGATGTCGGGGATGACCTCATCTTCGTCCGAGTTGCTCTCCTCCTCGGCTGGTGACTCCTCCTCCTCCGGCTTCTCCGCCGCCTTCTCTACCTCGGCCACGGTGCTGTCTTCATAGGTGTAGCCAATGGAGGCCTTCTTCTCCGCCAGCCTGGGGCGGGGGAGCCCATGAGCCAGGAGGGCCCCAGGGAGGATGCAGCCCAGAGCCAAGACTTGAGAGCACATGGACTCCCCGAGCTCTAGCCTCTCGAGGTCGCCCTTGCCCCGGCCCCTCACACATGCTCTCCCTCCGCCTAGAGCCTTCTGCACCTGCCTCGCACTGGCCCCTCCATCTTCCTCTAAGCTCCAGCTCCAGGGTCTCCAGGAAGCTGTCCCCCTAGGCAGGGTCAAGCATCATCCTGAGCTCCTTAGCCGCACCCACATGGAGTCATGACCGTCCGGGGACAGATCTCTTCCCCTGGCAGACTGAGCTCAAGAGGGCAAGACACAGAATTATCCTGGGTAACAGTACGGCCCAGCTTTGCCCAGAACAGACGAGCGGCCTCAGGCACGCATGTGGCTAAATTAATTTAGTCAACGTTCCCAGACGTCCCTCAAGTGCCAGCCTCGTCCTGAAAGTGGGCTCACGGGTAGGCATCAGTCATCGAGAAGCTTCCACGGCATCCGTGCAAACCCCAGATGAAGGAGGGCAACAAGAGCTCAGGCTCACAAAGGGGAAGGCTGGGCAGCAGGAGGGAAGCAGTCATGTTCCAGCACTACTACGGACAGGAGGGCTGAGCACCGCCCCAGAGGAGGACAGGGCCACCCCGGCAGAAGGAACAAAGAGAGAAAGGAGACTGCCCACCAGGGACCTCGCTGAGCCAGAGGCGGCTCCACCTACAGGCCTGTCACCCCCCCACTGCTATTCCTCCAGGGACACAGCCCTGAGACGCCCCCTCTCCAGAGTGACGCCGCCTGCAGATGAGCCCACGCAGGGCGGGCATAGGACAGGCGACCCACAAGTTCCATCCACTGCTGGAATGGGGGTTGCCAGCTAGCCACACTGCAGCTCAGCAAGGGGGTCCTCACAGGCAGGATGCAAACCCGGGCCTGGGTCACCCCAGGGCTGGCTCGACCAACTTCACCTCCTACCGTACCCCAAGCTAGAAATGCAACGCAGAGGCTTCTTGGGAAATCCTCTCCCTCGGCCACCACTTCCTCCTCTAAGTGTTTATTAAGTGAGCACCTACTATGGACCACACGCTGGTCCGGACTATGGGAAAGCTGAGGTGGATAAGCTGGAGGAGGCTGTGCCCTGGCGGGGCTCACTGTCCCCCTGCCTCCCCCTATGCCCTCATGCCCCCAGACGTCAACTCACTTCTTCTTCTCATCCTCACTGGGTCTCTGGAGGCCTCCGTACAGCTCGTCAATGTAGATCTGGTACAGACACTGCTCCTCCGAGACTGCAGCAAGGGGAGAGGCAGGGGGGTCAGAGTGGGGGCGGAGGCAGTGACACAAGAAGGCAGTGAGGGGTAGGAGGGCAGATACAACCCCAGTTCAGCCAGGCGCAGAGTCACTGGCGGGCACAGCACTACAGACGGCGTGCGGAGGACACAGCAACCACAGGAGGACCCTCCGCACGGCCTCGGTGACTGGCGGGGGCGGGGGGGGCCGGGGAGCAGGTAAGTTCTCTCTGGCTTGTTTCCTTTCTGTAAACGGGGAGCCCTGGAAGAGCGAGCTCTTGGCACAGGAGCAACACGACTATTAACCCCGTAAGGGAGGCCTCTGGTCAGACGCTTCAGACCTGCAAACTTCTCCTGAGCGCCGGATGTCACCGGGACTGCAGGGGCCCCTCCACCACAGGCCTCTCTGTGACTCAGATTAAACTACACGTGTTTGAAGCCATCTGGGCTCTCGTTTACCCACAATCTAACATGGGGAGCTCGACGCTGTATCCGAGCCTTCCCTGATCTTCCCTGCAATGAAACGCATGGGCCTGACTGGCCGCGGGGCCTCGGGCAAGTCCCCTTCCCTCTGCGGGTCTCGGCTTTTCCATCTGTGAAGTCAGGCTGAGGGGCTGGGCGGGGAGCACCGTGCCTTGCTCCCGCAGCACCCCCTACACCCCCCACAACTCCGGCCGGGGCATACAGAGCCTGGGAGAGGGCCCAGCTGGCCCGTCTCACACCAGCTGCCTCTTTCTCCCTGCTCCAGCCCCACAGGCTGCCTGTGCCCATCCTCCCACCGGCCTCTTCTGCGGCCCCCCTCTCCTCACAAGAGCGCCTCCCCACTCTTTCCCCGACCCCAGCCTCCGTCAAGCACCTCAGAGAAGAGCCCACCATCTGTGAGAACGCCACCTCAGTCTGCGATCGCCAGCCATGCTGGTGACTGTGTGGCAGCTGCCCTCTCCCCAGTGAGCCCACCGACCCCGGGAAGGGGGGAGCCCATCACACCACAGGCGCTCAGAAGCGGCGGCAAGGAACGAATGCGGAGTCAGACGGAACTTAGGAAACCCCTGGCTCCGTGGCCAAGAACCCCTGTAGGCCTGGGTGAAGGCAAGAACAGCACCGATAGCAAAGACGACAAACTTCCCTGATTCTAACACCTGGCTGGTTGCTAGGATTTTGGCACGCTGTGGTATCAGAGATGCCAAGACAGTCATCTTCGAAACAGAGAGACGCGGGAACTGCAAATGGCTGACCGTGCCAGGCTCAGGGCCGGAGATTCACGCGCCCTCTCGCCGGACCTTTACAACCATCCCGGGGGACAGAAACCATCATGACCACCCTTCTCTGGGAGGACAGCGAGACCCACCAGGCTAAGGGCCTCATGTGGCCCATCTTCTCTTTGACTCAACAGGGAAACCCTGGGAAGGGAAGTCTCAGTTCTCAGGACTGAGCTAAAGCTCGGAGCTGTCCATCAGGAGGCAGCAGTGGTTAAGGGTGGGGTGAGAATCCCAGATCCTCAGACACGATGTTCCCACCAACTCCTGAGCCTCAATGCCCCCATCCATAAAATGGGTGCGACCACTAGAGGCTGTGCAGATGTGACGAGATATTTAACACCGACAAAAAGGTCCAGGTCTGTCAGGTTCTGAAACTCCCTGGGCAAGCCCAGAGTGGGGAAAACTGTGAGCCTCCGTTTTCTCATTTGCGAAGCAACACGGTGACGGCTCAGAGAACACTAACCCGTACAAACGCTTGGCACACTGCCAAACTCTAAATATTCCTGAACAATTCCTAAAAGAAATTTCCTCTTCAGAAATGACATTCTGACCCAAACAGGCTGGGGGAAACATGCAGAGGGAAAGAGTGTGTTCCTGCTATCTTCCCTAACTTTTTAGGACAAAAGGCCAGAGAGGCAGAGGGTGTGGGATACGGAAGTGACCTCCGCAGGACCATCTCACTCAGGAGACACACCTGTACTGGTCCAGAGATGGAGGCCTGAGAGGAAAAGAGCGGGGAGCAAACCCCAGGTCCCGTAGGAGAAAGCACTGGAGTAAAAGCGGTCTCCCCACATCCACGGACGCCCAACCCACTCGCCACGCCCCAGCTCACTCACTGCCAGCGAAGTCGTTCTGCACCAGGCCTCGGTAGCGCTCGTAGTTACATTTCCGCTCATCTGACTCCTGTTCTGGGGAGCTTGTGGGGATGTCAAGGTCTTGAGATCAGAGGAAAAGGGGAGGCCCCACCGCAAGCCAGCAGGAGTGGGGGAGGAGGAGCCTGGCTCAGGCTGGGAGGCCCCCCGCTGACACACCTCCTTCCCAGGAAGGGGATAGACAAGCAAAGGCTTGGGAAAAGGGGCGGGCAGCAGGCAGCTCAGGCTGCCTGGCAAGGATTAGAGGGGCTCTTACATGGTGGTAAGCAGCGGGGGCGTGTAGTCGGGGATGTGATCAAGGTGGGCGCGGACATCGAAGCGGTCAATCATGTTGTTGGTGTCCCCCTGCCAGGGCATCCTGAAATGGGGAGCAAGGAGTTGAAGTTCCCCAGTGCCCACACCTGTTCCCTGTCACCCCAAGCTTGGGAGCCCGGCCCTCAGTTCCCTGTGATTTTCCAGGCCATGGGCCCCAACCTCACCCTTGACTTCTCAGTTTCTTATGTCACTAATCCCCCTGAGTCCACATTCAGGCTCCTGGCCTGAACAGGAAACTTGGGGCCCTATTTCTCAGAACCAAGCAGAAGTGGGAAACTCAAACCAGATCCCAGGGCCACTTGCTAAGCCCTGGTCACCCCGAAGCATCCCCTCTGCCAACACACTTGCCACCTCATCTGGGCCTGCGGTCCCAGCCCCGCCCGCTCCCATCTAAGTCCCCTGAGCACCCGTGCACGCTGCATCCCGACCCCTGCCCGCCCTCCCTGACCACTGTCAGCTCCTCACGCAGGTCAAGCCTTCCTTGCCCGAGTCCCCACACGGCTCTCCACACCCCAGCCCCTCCTGGCCTCCAACCCTGAGACACAGACACCATCCCGGCCTTCTTCTTGGCCTCACATGTTGACGGGGCTCTCGGCGGCCAGGGCGACTGCGGAGTCCAGGTGCACCTTGCATGCTCGGCCGTGCACCTGCAGGAACTGCGCTGGGTCCTTCTTCTGCGGGAAGAGACAAGGTAGATGTCACCACCACGCTGAGCTCCAGCCCTGGAGCTCAACCCAGCTCAGCAGCGAGCTGACCACTGACTGTCAAGTGGGCTGGGCCTCAGAGGTAAACTAACCTGCAGGGGGGTGGCCACACTCACTGGGGCCACCTCAGCTCTAGGAACGGGGGACCTTGAGATGGTGCAGAAAGGCTCTGAGCTCTGGCCCAACCTTCTGTACAGCCGTACCAAGATCTTCTGCCCCCAAAATATGATCCCCCAAATCTTCACCTCCTCACCCCAACCCCAAGTCACTCATTCGGAGCCACGCGTGAGCCCTCTGGCTTAGCCCAGCCTCTAAAACACCGGGCCCACGTGAGCACATTTTAAGATGATCAGGATCATTAACGATCAGAGAAATGCCAACGGGAACCACGAGACACCACTTCACACTCACGAGGACAGCAAAAACCGAAAAGGACAGCAAAAACCGAAAAGGACAGACGTTAACAGTGTTGACAGGAACGTGAAGAAGCTGAGTTCTTCAATGGTTAAACAAAGAACCACCCTAAGACCCAGCAATTCCACTCCTAGGGATACACCCGCCAGAACCGAAAACAGATATTCAAATACTTGTACTCGGATACTCAAGCAGCACGACTCACCATGGCTGAAAGATGGAAACAATCACGTGGCCATCAATGGATGGCCGATGACCCAAACGAGCCAGTTTTAGACCCCGGAACCTTGTCAATAACAAGAAGTGAGGAACTGACACATGCTACAACAGGGACGGACCATGGAAATGGTTCTCAGTGAAAGCAGTCAGTCACAGAGGGCCCCGTGCTGTATGACTCCATTTCTGAGAATCGTCCAGAACAGGCAAATCCAGAGAGACAGAAAGTAGAGGGATGAGTGCCTGGCCAGGGCTGGAAAGTTGGGGGGACTGACTGCTAATGGGAATGGAGTTCTTTTTAGGGTTATGGAAATTTTCTAAAATTGGGCTGTGGTGATGGATGCACATGCTGTGAATATTCTGAAAACCCCAGAATCATACATTAGGTGAACGATATCTCAATAAAGCTGTTAAGAGGGGCGCCTGGGTGGCTCAGTGGCTGAGCCTCTGCCTTCCACTCAGGTCATGATCTCATCCTGGGATCGAGCCCCGCATCAGGCTCTCTGCTCAGCAGGGAGCCTGCTTCCCACTCTCTCTACCTGCCTCTCTGTCTACTTGTGGTTTCTCTGTCAAATAAATAAATAAAATCTTTTTTTTTTAAGATTTTATTTATTTATTTGACAGACAGAGATCATAAGTAGGCAGAGAGGCAGGCAGAGAGAGGAGGAAGCAGGCTCCCTGCTGAGCAGAGAGCCCGATGCGGGGCTCGATCCCAGGACCCCGGGACCATGACCTGAGCCGAAGGCAGAGGCTTTAACCCACTGAGCCACCCAGGCACCCCTAAAATCTTTTTTTTTTAAAGATATTATTTATTTATTTGGCAGAGAGAGAGAGAGAGAGAGCACAAGTAAGCAGAGGGGGAGGGAGAACCAGGATCTCTGCTGAGCAGAGAGCCCTATGCGGGACTCCATCCCAGGACCCTGGAATTATGACCCGAGCCAAAGGCAGCCACCAACTGAGCCACCCAGGCGCCCCAATAAATAAAATCTTTAAAAAAAATAAAGCTGCTAAGAAGGCCCCAACATAGAGGACAATGTTCCCTGAGTCTATGCTCCTCCAGCCCAAGCCCTTGCGTGCAGCTCACAATTCCAGGCGCGTCAGAAATGGATGAAATCCACCACCAGTGCTCCCACGGCTGAGCTTTCTGAGTCCCAGACCCTGGCTGGGCTCCTGCTGCGGGCCACATCAGAGGAACCCACAAAAGCCACAGGGACTGCTGCCGTCCACTGAAAGCTGGCCAAGCCGCAGGCAAGGCCTCCCCGGGGTCCAGGGCCTCCTCCCCACGCCCTAGTCCGGCCGGCCTGTCCTCTCGTCCAGGCCATTTGGCAGCCTCCTCTGGGCTCCCTGCTGCCAGCCCGCCCTCCGCAGTTCATCTCCCACACAGGGCCTGGGCAGGGGGGTTTCTGCTAAAACCTGTCAGGCCGCATCGCTCTCTGACTCCTCTCTCCCAGCTCTGCCCCAGGAGCACCGGCCTCCACGCCACTCCAGGGCCACTGCACTCATGCTCCACTCGGAACCTCTGTGCTCACTCCTCCCCTGGCCTGCAAAGCTCAGGCAGGTGGCTGCCCTCTGGCTTATTTCAGATCTCTTTCTAGAACCTTCCTCACCAACTCTTAAGTAGCTCCCTGCACAAGCCCATACTTACTCCCAATCTCTCCTTAACCCCACCTGCTCTCTTCACAACACCCGCCACCACCCCATTTCCCATCTTCCATTCATTTATCCGTCATCCCTCACCCTAGAATATAACTTCCACAGACAGGGATCGCCGCTCTCTGCTCACCACTGTACCCCCCGTGCCTGGAGCAGACCCGCCCCATAGCAGGCGCTCGGGAACACGGGCTGAAGGGAAGAGAGAATGAACCCTGACAGATGAGGAGCCTGAGCCCCGCCCCAAACACACCAGCATCAAGTTGCCAAAACCCCACACGTCCTCAATGCCTCCCCCACCCACCAGCAAAGAGAAGAGGACAGGCACAGAGGACCACAGCTAACGCCGTGTCCCTCCCGCACTCACCAGGCCCTGGGCTGTTCCCACTCAGCTGAGGAGGATCCGCCCAAGGCCACAGGGTCCAGCAGGGGCGGTGCTGTGGGAATCCAACTGCTTGTCCCACACCTCACTTCCCTCCCTCAGCCCCATGAACAGCCCTTGGCCAAGACTCCCTCAGGCCCCTGGGGCCGCGGCGGCCCAATGCCTAGGTTCCACGGCTATCGGGGGACATTTCTTGCAATACGGACACTGCCTGGTACAGGGAAACCACTGGCCGTGCCAGCAACTGCAGGAAGGAAAACATATCAGGCTAGGAGTAAAAATCCATGTCCAGGGCCTAGCTCTGCTGGAAGATTCTGGAAAAGCCAATGAACTGTCCTAAAAGCCAGGCCCTGACCTGTTTTTTTGTAAATTTTCTCAAACTTCTCAAGCACAGGACAAAGGTGATCAGTGTTCCTGAAGAGGAAACTGAGCAGTGTGGCCCACTTGCTTGGCCAGCAACACACACCATTAGGATTTGAACCCAAATGGGCCTGACCCCCATAGGAATCCATTGTTTGTTTATTTTCAGTAATTTTTTTTTTAACTTTGGTGAAAGGTATATGATAGAAAATCTACTATGTTAACTACTTTTTTTTGAAAAAGATCTTATTTAAGGGCGCCTGCGTGGCTCAGTTGTTAAAGGTCTGTCTTTGGCTCAGGTCATGATCCCAGGGTCCTGTGATCGAGCCCCCTGCATCAGGCTCCCTGCTCAGCGGGAAGCCTGCTTCTCTCTCTCCCACTCCCCTGCTTGTGTTCCCTCTCACAGTCTCTCTCTCTGTCAAATAAATAAAGAAAGAAATAGATTTTATTTGATTATCTAATAGAGCATGGGCAGAGGCAGGAGCAGATTCCCTGCTAAGCAGGGAGCCCCACGCGGGGTTCGAACCCAGGACCCCGGGATCACGACCTGAGCTGAAAGCAGATGTTCAACGGACCGCCTAAGCCCCCCAGGCACCCCATACGTTCGCCACTGCTAAGGGTACCATAGGGTCGCATCAAGGTACATGCACCCTGCCGGGCGGCCGATTTCTAGAACTTCTCCGTCTTGCAAAACTGAAACTCCACAGCCAGTGAAGGACTACCCTTTTCTCCTCCCCCACCCCAGCAACCACCCTTCTATTTCCTGTTCCTAAGGGCACGACTACTTCAGATACCTCCTATATGCAGTATCTTGCATCATCATTTTTTTTTTTTTTTGGTGCCATGCCATCACTGGGCATGATGTCTCCACTGCTCCTCCACGTGGCAGCATGTGACAGGATACCTTTTTCCGAGGCTGAACAATATCCCACAGTACAGACAAACCACCTCGTCTGCCCCTTCCTTCAGTCGATGAGCAGTTAGGTTGTTTCCCCATCTTGGCTAGTTTGAGTAACAGGGCAGGGAACACGGGGTGTACAAATACCTCTGCGACACCCGAAGTCCGCTCTTAACCACTGGCCTATCCTGCCTCCAGGATCAGACGGAGTCAGGGGAGTTCACAGACTCTTTCATTCATTCATTTGACTGATAAACAGGCACCCACATGCTAGGCCCCATGCTAGGGCCACGGCAGTGACGGACACAGCCCCAGCCCTACTCTCAGCGCTCACAGTCCAGGGCTGGGAACAGACCCCCCCCCCACCCTGGATAGTGACGACCCAGAGTGGGCAGTGCTGCGATGGGAGAGCCCAGGGGAATGCCTGACTCAGGCTGGGCAGTGGTGGGGGTGGGGGGGGTGGGTCAGCCTGGGGTTTTCTCGAGGACAGGCTTGAACTGAGAACTATTTACTGCCCATTTTCTTATCAACAGGAAATTGTTTCTTTATCCAAACCACTGATTAAAGAAGAAAGTTGACAAGGGCAACGACAGAACCAGGCTTAGCCAGGGGAGAGAGCTGGCACCAAGGACAAATCAGGAGGAGGGAAGCCAGCCTTGTGCGGACCACCCATTCAGCCTGCCCTGAACTACCTCGGCTTCTCCAACGCTCGCCCCACAGCCTCCTCTCCCGTCAAGACGACGACGAGGCCCATGTGAGCCACCCCATCCCCTCCTCAAAGCAGCCTTCAGCCACTGCCAGCAGCCTGACAGCTCCGCTCTGCATGCTGCTCACGCGCCTGCACGGGGACAGCGGCGGCTTGCACGGGCCCACACCACACAGCGCCCCACAGACACCGCTCTTGTTCTTGACAGTCCTCCCTGTCATCCAGTGAGAGGGGCTCATGATCACCACTGTCCCGAGGGGGAAAATAAAGCTCAGGGGGCTCCCAGCTACCAAGAACAAGAGCCAGAGTGCCCCAGCTCCAGCCCTCTTTCCTCCACACCACACAGATTCCCGCTTTACCCGGTACGAAGAACTTCAGTGGCAACCAGAGCCAGCATTCACAGAGCAAGTCACCCCGGACAGGCCTACGCTGAGGTTGGATGTGCCCCATCTCATCGAGCCGCCCTGCGAGGGAGGCGCGCAGCCCCCACCATCTAAGGCAGACCAGGAGCTGGCAACCAACCTCTATTTCCCCTCCCTCAACAGTAACACGCTCCTGATATGTGTGGCACAAGGCCACCCAGGATAAAGCCTATGCCTCTCAGGCGCCTTTGTACCCATACGTGAGCCTGGGACCACTTTCTGGCCAGTGGGATGAGTGGAAGTGTTAGATGCAAACATCTAGAAACTTTCTTAAATCCGGCATGAGGGGCGCCTGGGTGGTTCAGTTGTCAAGTGTCTGCCTTCGGCTCAGGACATGATCCCAGAGTCCTGGGATTGAGCCCCACATCTAGCCTCCTACTCAGCGGGAAGCCTGCTTCTCCCCCTCTCACTCCCTCTACTTGTGTTCCCTCTCTTGCTGTCTCTCTGTCAAATAAATAAATAAAATCTTAAGAAAACAAAAACCAAAAACAAAAACTGGCATGAGCACTTGGATGGAAGGCAGAGACAGTGGCTGGAGTCTGAGCAGCCCTCTTAGCCCTCCAACACAAGTAAGGGAGCCCACGTTCAGCCAAACAACAAAATGGTCCTTGAGCAGAGCCAGCTATTTCAGGGCCTTCAGGGGGAAAAGAAAGAAACTTTTATCTCCCCAGCCAAACCTGACTCTTCGGGATACATCATTTCACATGCAAAAAAGGAAACGGGCTCTGGCACACAGTCACTCCCCCAAGGTCACACTGTACGTAAGCAGAAGAGCTGGAATTTGAACAAAGAGCCCTAGGACTCAAACTCTGAGGACTGAAGCATTTTACTATTTTGCCTCCAGCCTGTGTCACTTTGGACAAGTCACTGCAACTTTCAGAACTTCTGTTTTTGCAACAGAAAGCCCAGGTGAAGTGCCAGAAGAGGTCAGGGTTCAGAGAGTCTGGGTGAGAATGCCGGCTATGCTCTCTTGCTACATGACTGCAGACCAGGACTTTCCGAGCCTCAGTTCGCTCATCTGTAAAACGGACGTCAATAAGAACCACACCCAAGGCTGCCGTGAGGCTGTGGTGAAGAGTAAACGCCTGGCAAGCACCTGGCACAGAACGGTCAACACATAAATGCTCAGTACCACTGGCCGATTTCCTCAGCACCATCATTAACACGGAGACCAGTCACAACCTCTCAAGGCCGCTCGAAGGCCTCCGAAGTCCCAAAGAAGTGGGCACTGGGTCCAGCTCACCATGAGCCCTCATTATAGCTCACGGCAGCCCTTTCCTCCTAGACACTGTTTCCCTGGCCCACGCTGGGGCCTCAACTAGGACGGGCCCGGACCCGGGCCCTGCCCTCACGGTCATGGTACAGTTTTCTCAACACCACCAGAGTGGGGCTCGCCTTGAGCCCAGTGGTTCCTTTCTAGGTGACAGAGGGCAAGTGAGATGCTCTCAGAGATTCGTTTCCTATAGTAATAGCAGCCTCTGTTTCACTGGGGACTCTCGGGATTCCAAGAAACCACGCATCTAAAACTCTTCTCACAGAGCCAGGTGCCTGGAAGGAGCAATTAAAACGGTAACCGCTACTACACTATTAGTTTACTCATTTACTCTTTCAAAATGTATTTGTTGGCCCCAAGCTTAGGATGCAAAGATGACCTGAATACTAGTCCCCAGTCTTAAAGAACTAGATATATGTGTATTAAATTCCAAAGGAGAAGAACAGGGAGCTGTAATGGCATTTATATGGGACACCTGACTGAGTATGGGGGATGACGGAAGACTTCCTTGAGGACTGAGATCTGACTGAGATGAGCAGTCGTAGTTACCCAGGTATGGGAAGAGCTCACGCAAAGGCCCTGTGCCTATGTAATTCTGAGAGCTAAACTCATACTCTTTATCCATCTTTTGCATTAGAGAAAGTCACTCTAGATAACAAGGAGGCTAGATGCGGGGGAGGGGTGAGTAGTGCGTGTGTGTGCAGTGCAAAAAGCCAGACCACGTCGAGGCTTGAAGGATGTGTTGAAGAGCCTGGGCTTTCTATTGAGGGCATTAGGGAGCCATGGAGGAGTTCAGAGCAAGGAAAGGACAGGGTCAGCCTTGTGCTTTAGAAAAAACCTCCCTAGCCCTGCTGAAGAGGACGGATTGGAGAGGGGCAGGAATGAAGGCCAGGAGATCAGGTAGGAGGCCAAAGCAGTGATACAGCAGTAAATAGGAACACCTATATTAATACCATCTAGCAAGAAAATTGAACCTGGTACACTAGTGCCATTTCCAGCTGAGGTCTCAAGTAGGAGTTAAAGAGGTGAGGGGAGACATGACAGGCACAATGCCCTATGGTGACAGGGATGGGGAAAAAGGGCCAAGGGAGCTACCCAAGGATGACACTGAGAGGCTGGTAGTGGTCAGGTCAACAAGGGCCTTTTAGGTCACAGGATGGAGTATGGTCTTCTCTCTAAAAGCAACTGAAGCATCAAAGAGGAAAGGAAAGTGGTCACAGTCCCCTTAAATGAATACTGATGGCACTCCAACACGGTGCCAAGCCAAACCTCAAGAACAGCTAAGCTTTTCTGGGCACTGCAAATACAACAGGAAGACAGACAACCTTCAGGAGGCGGTCAGTCTTCTATCTGGACTGCTCTGTTACAAAACTTCCCTCCTTCCTGCTAACACCAGCTCTGTACTCTGAGGCCACACCAAACAAGACAGTAGCCTAGAACCAAGAGAATGCCTCTGGTTTTTACCCATGGGTATGCTCAAGAACTGAATACTCTCCTGAGGAAAGCTGGGCTCTTGTCTGGGCATGTTTCCAAGCCCAAACCCCACCAGGATGACCTCCAGGGAAGGTCCCACCCCAGATCAAGGCCAGTTACTCACGATCTTTTCATAGTACTCCCGCCGCCGCTCTGCCCTCTTCTTGTAGTCAACCATCATGCCTCGAAGCTTCCGCTCATGCTTCCGAGCCTCGTGCCACATCGTGGTGAGGCCAAGCTGGGGGCCTCAACCTGGGGGATGAGAGGGGAGTGTCAGATGGGTTGTAAAAACCATATAGGCAGAATCAAAGTCACCTAACTAAGCTGGTGACAGAGCCCATCCCGAACACCAGCTTCAGGGAAGGGAAGTGAGGCTGAAGAACTGTGTGCCAAATGCCGAAGCGTATTCCTGACAACTCTGATCCAGTACCTTGGGCTTCTGAAACCCACCCCCACCCAGGATATTCTGGAGTGAGGAGTATCCCTGGGAAAGGAGTGTCCTGGATTCAGGGCACTAGACTCAAGGATGAAAGCTTTTGGAATGTTAGGAGTGAGTGAGTGAAGTAAGGTCCCGAGGCAGGTCCTAAGCAGGTGGGGCTGTAGTTCAAGTCAGGGAGAAGAGCGGAACTGGGGATACCCGTGTGGGTAAGGAACGAATGCAAGTGAAGGGAACAGAGCAGTGGTATGGGGCGGAGGAGGAGGAATGGGGGGAGGGTGGAGATGGAGGGCAGGTGAAGGGCGTGGACGGAAGACGACAATGCTTGGGGGAGCTGGGGGAACATGGGGAGGTGCTGTAAATAAAGATCAGAGAAATCTGAATGGCGGGGGCGGGGGGGGGATGGTGCGGTGAGAAACCGAGTAGAGAATCAGGGAGGCGGAGCTGGCAAGACAGGAGGGGGTGGGCTGTGCTCAGGGGCAAGGCTTGCGGACAGGGGCGGAGCCCTGGGGTTTGGACTGGGATCCCGGGCCGGGTGTGGGCCTCGAGGTTCGGGCTAAGGGTTTTGACAAGGGGGCGGGCCCTGTGGTAAGCGGCTGGGTCCGATGCGGCGAGTTTGGGCCCACCGCGGGGGCAGGGGCGCACGGCCTAACGCGCCGCAGGCCGGAGGGGTTGCGGGGCCAGCGGCCCTCGGGGCTGGGGCTCCGCAGAGGCTCAAAGCAGCTCGGGGAAAGGCCGAGGCTACGGCGAAGCTGTGCTGACGCCCGCCCGAAAGCCAGGAAGGTCTGGGCCCGCTGCTTGCACTCACCGGCTCGTCGCCGCCTCCCACCGCTGCGCTCGCGCGCGGCCCGCACCGGAAGCGGAAGTAGGAGGCGAAGGGGAGGGGCGGAACGTGGCGAAGCGCGCTTCCGCCGACGCGAAGGGCGGGCCCTGGAGGGGAGGGGCGGGGTCTGGAGGATGCGATTAGGAGAGGCGGAGCCGAGGAGGTCACCGAGGTTTCGTGCGTGTGGGCCCTGGAGTTTACCCAGCGGAGAAGAGACAAGACTCCCAAGGCTCAAAAACTCATCTTTATTGGGAAGACTCAGAACAAACAACCTTTACCCCCCACCTTCAAGCTCGGGGGAGGAAAGCCGAGGATCTGCACCTTTCTCCCATATGTACACTCCAGAATCCGCCTGGAGAAGGTGCCCCCACTCGTGGGGACTGAGGCAGCTTTACAAGCTGGTGCATGGGAGGCAAGCCCCTTTTCCTCTCCGGACTCGGTTTTCCCATTTGTAAAATGGGCTCAGGGGAAACCGGTGCTGTGGAGCTTCTCACCAGCGCTGAAGATGTCCCATTCAGAAGAATGAGGAGGTTGGAAGACCGACCAACGGTGGCCCAAGGGGACGGAGGTGCTGGACATCCTGGCTGGGTTTGCACGGCCCCTTCCACCTCCCTCCCTCCCCACCTAGCGCCTCTCCTCCAGCGCCTCGGGGCTACGTAGCCTCCGGCCCCGGAGACAGGAGGCCTCCCCCAAAGCCCACCTCCCGGTACTGGTTGGGGAACATGTTGCTGCCCACAAGGCTGGCCGTGCCCCCGTCCCCGGGGCCTGGGGCCTGGTATGAGTCCAGTGTCATTGGCTCGGGGCCGGAAGGATCTCCAACTGCAGGCCCTGCAGCCCCATTGCCCGTGACAGCGCTGATGAGTGGCGGCGCAGGGGGCAGCATGTCCAGCATGGTGAAAAGTGTGGGGGCCGTGGCATCATCATAGGCAAAGCCGTCGTCCAGAAGGTCTGGCCCACCGGGGGGCTCCAGGCCGGGGAGGGACACGGTGCCAGAGAAGAAGTCTGTGTCCGGCAGCAGGGCTGACGGCGGGAGGAACGGGCCTGCATGAATGGAGAAAAGAAGTAGGATGCCTTTAGCGGCAACTTCAGGGGCTAACTCCAACAAGCAGTAACTCCAGTGCCCTGACAGTACTAAATGCATTATCACTGTGGCCTCCTTTAATCCCAAGGAGAACCCCAGGGTAGGAACTATCACCATCCTCCTTTAATGAGCAAACTGAGGCAAAATAATTTAGTCACACATAGCTGGCCAGTTGTAGCACCAGAGTTCCAAACATGCTCCAGCAGGAATGGGAAGTTTTTCCAAAAACTTAATAAGTTGAAGAGGCTCTAAAGTCCCTCCTCCTCCAAATTATAGAGACCACCCCAAAAATGAAATCCCCACACACCGGAGACCCAAATGAGAAGTCACCAGGCCCCAAACCGGAAGGTAAAATTATGTGGAGGTGTTAAAATATATAGAGGAGAGTCTTTCTCTGAGATAAGACAAACCTCACCAGCGAAGGCGTCTTATGCTTATCTCAGAAAGAGACCCAGGGCAACTGGGTCTCTTCTCCAGGGACTCTATTTCCCAGCCTCCCTTAGAGCTAAATGTGGTCATGTGACTAAGCTCCTTGCTGGAACACAGGCCTGAAGGCTGGAACTTTGGCAGCCATCTTGGACCAGGAGATGGAAACTATGAGTTGAAAATGGCAGAAGCGTGCTTGGGTCTCTGATGATCATAACAGCCTCTAAACCATCCCAGGACTATCTACCTCTGTTTACCTGAGAGAAGTAAAAGTCTAGCCTGTTGAAGCCCCTGTTAATTTGGGGTTTGCAATGAATACAGCTAAACATGACCGTAACAAACGCAGGTGGCATTCTTATCTGTCAAGTTCCTAAGATCTCCTGAGCACTAACTCTGTGCTAGCCACTATGCTAACTAACTGTGTGATATGACCTCACTAAATTCTAAAAAGGACCCTAAGAGGTAAGGTTTCCATCTGAGAGATGAGATCCCAAAGAGATCCCACAGTGGCAAAATTCAGGCCTCAGAATCCAAACTCAGTCTAATTCCAGAGGGCATGTTCCTAACCATTATGCTATCATGCCAGAGCAGCTTTGTCCCAAGGATTGGGGAGGGGGACCTTTAAGCACTGGAAAGTTGGGGTGATGGAGGAGGTAGATGAATGGCAGATGGCTAATGGGGAGAGGCTTTGGGAATAGGGGATGGAAGGCTGGCAAAGCAGGCTAGGATTGGTGGTTGCTATGGGTGGGGCTCTGAGCAGTGGTTACCAGGGGCAGTGGGTGGGGGAACAACGGGTGATCGCTGAAACCTCCAGGGTGGGACTGGCTGGAGTGGTCCAGGCTCTTCAGACTCTGAGCGGTTGGCTGTCGGAGGTCAGTGGGAGAGCTGGGCGCCCTGGGGTAGCTGGGTTCTTAGGGGGAGTGTTCTTAGAGCCAGTGGTCAGTCAGTGGGGAGGCTTCTGATCGCAGCCAGATAGGGCTGCAGTTCCCAGGAAGTGGAGGCTGGCGTGTGAGTTGAGAAGAAGGCACAAGGAGAACATACCAGAGGGTGGTTGGGCTAGAGACAGGCTCTGGATTAAGGTTGGCTGGCTCTGCCAACCCATCCCGTTTATCTACCATCCACTCCCTGCTACCTGCTCTACGTAGTGTTTCATCACTCGTCTGTACAGCTGCCCGGGTACAGCTCCCTGCTTCACCGCACATGCGGCGACCTCAGCTGAGAAACTTCACCTTTCTGGGCCTCAGTTTCTTCACCAGTAAAATGGGGGGGGGGTATGATACGATTTCGATTCAATGAGTAGACCTATACAACGCACTTACGTGCCGGTGATATGGTGTCTGTAAAAATAAATGCATTAAAATCTGAAAGGCCAATGAGGAAGGTCTATGGTGAAACTTTTCAGGGGAGCAGCTGAGGCTCGGAGAGGTAGAGCAACTTGGTGGGGGTCACACAGCCAGTGAACAGCCCGGCAGAGATCAGAGCCTCCTGATGGTATCCAGAGCTGTTCTTCTTTCTACTTCACGCTGCTTTCTACTCATGCTTTCTGCCTGAGATGTCAGTTCCTGACCTTAGGGGAGTTTTTGGGGAGCTCCCAAAGAGGCCAAAAGCAGGGCTGCAGCTCATACTCATCCCACTTCAGAGAGCAGGAGCTTGCCCTCGGCGGGGACCCACCTGCGCTGTGACCCACCTGAGCTGGGGTTGGGCAGGAAATGATCCAGGAAGGCTGGCTTTTTCTTCCGCCGTTTGCTCTCGATGCCATGGGGGTCTGAGGGAAGGCAGAGATGAGGACCCCTGGACCTTCACGGCCCTTCCTCCCCAGACTAGGGCTTAGCCATCCCCTCCCAAGAACCAGGAGATGGGTGTGGAAAGGGGCAGAGGGGACACACCCGAGCTCTTCAGCTCCCCGAGGACATCAGGTATCCCCCGTTTCCGCTTCTTGTCCACGCCATAACTGTCTGTTCAGGAGATAACAGGGGCGATGTTATCCATCAACAATAATAATTAAGACTTAATTGTAGAGATTGCTTAGGAAGTCATTGAGCTGTTCTAGTTCTTGGCCAACTGATGCAAATAGATATCCACATCTTAATCAGAATGCAACCCAAATCCACTTCTGTGTTGTTCCTGGGACACTGCAGCATGATCCTGCCTCAGGACCTTTGCACTTGCTACTCCAGCTGCTTGAAATCCTATTTCCGAACTCCCATTACTTCCCCTGGAGTACTGCTTAGTCAACCCCACATTCTCAGCTCAACCGTCCCCTCCTCCAGGAAGCCCTCCCTAACCTCAAAGCCTGTGTCAAATGCCCCCTCTGAGCAATCTAAGTCCCCTGAGCAATTCCATCCCCACTATAGGACTGTGAGACTTATGAGAGTGGGGCTGGGGCCATCTTGGGTCACTGCAGTGTCCTAGAACCACCCAGTACAGGGTCGGGCATGAGCAGGCATGCTGAGGGAAGAAATAATCAAATACTCCCCAAATGCCATCAGATAGGTACTATTACTTCCACTTTGTGCAAGAGGAGACTGAGGTTCAGGGAGAGACCAAGGACACACAACCAGTAAGAGGGGGAGCCAGGAACCGAACCCTAGTCAGTGCAGTCACGAGGCTGTGTTTTACTTCTGCCTCTTCTTCCCCTGTCCCCTCTAGGCCAAAGACCTGGCCTCTGGGCAGCGGGTCACCCTGATTGCTGTGGTTACCATGGTCCCGAGGCAGGTACGTGAAGGGCAGAGGCTCACTGCAGACCCCGTCAGTAAGCCGCTGCAGAAAGACGTTCACGGTCACAGGCTCAACGATTTCCAGGTCCTCATAGGGTGGTGTCTTGAACACAATGGCAATCTGGCGGTGCACATCGGCCTGGGAGAAGTCAGCCCGGCCTTCCCAGGAGGCCCTGCTAAACACCACCGATATATCCTCTGGCGGGAAAGTGGGGACATCAGCTGAGCCAGGACGCTGGCCTACCAGGCCCCCAACTCAGTCAGCCTCCCCCCAAATCAATACTGATATTCTCTTAAAAAAAAAAAAAAATATATATATATATATATATATGAAGTTTAAATACATTTGATTTTAAGAGAGCTCCATGCCCAACATGGGGCTTGAACTCACAACTCCAAGATCAAAACTTGCACGTTCTACCAACTGAAACAGCAAGGCACCCCCAATGTTGATATTCTTTTTTTTTTAAGATTTTATTTATTTATTTGACAGATAGAGATCACAAGTAGGCAGAGAGGCAGGCAGAGAGAGAGAGGAAGAGAAGCAGGCTCCCTGCTGAGCAGAGAGCCCGATGTGGGGCTCGATCCCAGGACCCTGGAATCATGACCTGAGCTGAAGGTAGAGGCTTTAACCCACTGAGCCACCCAGGTGCCCCCAATGTTGATATTCTTAACACTAAAACTAATCAGAGGGGCACCAGGGTGGCTCAGTTGGTTAAGCATCTGACTCTTGGTTTTGGCTCAGGCCATAATCTCAGGGTCATGAGATGGAGCCCCCCATTGGACTCCATGCCCAGCAGGGAGTCTGCTTAGAATTTTCTTCCTTTCCCTCTGCCCCTCCCCAACTCAAGTGCATGTGTGCATGCACTCGCTCTCTCTAAAATAAATATTTTTTAAGATTTTATTTATTTTATTTTAGAGAGAAAGAAAGAATGCGTGCGCATGGGCGCCTGGGTGACTCAGTGGGTTAAGCCTCAGCCTTCAGCTCAGGTCATAATCTCAGGGTCCTGGGATTGAGCCCCACGTCCGGCTCTCTGCTCAGCAGGGAGCCTGCTTCCCCCTCTCTCTGCCTGCCTCTACCTACTTGTGATCTCTCTCTGTATCAAATAAAGAAATAAATAAAAAAAAATGTGTGCGCCAAGCAGGAGGAGGGGCAGAGGGACAGGAAGAGAGCCTCAAGCAGACTGCCCACTGGACACGAAGCCCAATGGGGGCTCCATCTCATGACCCTGAGATCATGACCTGGGCTGAAACCAAGAGTCATATGCTTAACCGACTGAGCCACTCAAGTGCCCCTCTAAAATAAATAAATCTTAAAAAAATTAATTAATTAAACTAATCATAGCAGCAGCTAACCTCTTGTTGAGCACCCACTGTGTGCCAGTCACTAAGTATTTTATATAGTTTTATATATTATCTCATTCAAACCTTTTACTAACCTGAGAGGCAGGTAGAGTTAATAACCTCACCACGTCAGATGTTCCCCACCATCAGATTTAGTGATTCACTAAGGGGACTCATGGGACTCAGCATATAGTCATACTCATGCTATGATTTACTTTGGCAAAAAGATACTAGTAACCTCAGTAAAGGAAAGGATGCCTGCATGAGCTTCCAAGAGGCCTCTCCCCGTGGAGTCACAGAGAACACGCTAATCCCCCGCCCCCCAGTAGCAAACTATGACCACACATGGGAAACGCTAGCTATCAGGGAAGCTCACTGGAGACTCAGTTCCCAGAGTTTTTATTGGCGGCTGATTATATAGGCACTCTCTGCCTGGCATATATCAAAATTCCAGGTTTCCAGAAGCAGAGCCGGTGTTCAGCGCAAACCACGTTGCCCATATAAACAGTTTAAGCACCATGAGTCCCTCTCATCAGTCAGGGGATAGTGGGAGTCCTCTCAAAATCCAAGTTCTCAAAAGCCAGCCAAGAGTCAACCTTGTAAGCAGGCCTTTCAAAGGATAACAGTCTCAGACCCGCTATATTAACTCTTTGACATGCCCATTTTAAACATGTGGAAACTGAGGCATGAAAGAGGAGAGAGACTTACCCAAGGTCACACAGCTGGTAGCAGAATAGTCAGGATGCAGTATACTATTCTGCCTGTTATTTCTTTTTCTTGTCTTATTGCATTGCCTCTCATCACACTAATTTCATCTACAGAGGCTTTATATATATCACACATACACAGATTGCCTCTAAGTCACACAACAATCTTATGAAAAAAAGTACCTTTAGGAAACCCATTATATAGAGGACAAAGCAAAGGCACAGAGACATGAAGGCACTTGTCCAAGGTCACAAAGCCAATATGTGGTGGAGCCAAGATGGGAATCCAGGTGGGCTAGAGCTCCTCGCCACCAGATCCTAAGGGCTTGGGGAAATAACCTAATATCTCTGTGTCTAGTTTCCTCACCTAAACAGAAACAAAGTCAGCACACCTATCTCACAGGCTTGCTAGAAGGATTAACGGAATCACTCCAAGTAAAGGTGCTCAGCCCACGTTAAGTATGATTGCTTTTATTAGGATTATGCAAAGTCCTAGCTTCAGGCTTGGCACTCAGAAATTCTCAGTATATACTAATTCTTTGCAGTGTAGTTCTTGGGTAAGTGAGATCCTGTCTCATCCTAACACCAACTCATAAAGGGTAAGGAAACAGAGGCTTGGGGTGGTGAAGTCACCAGCCCAAGGCTGGCCAATGAACAAAAAAATGGAACAGGACTCACAGCTGCTTCTAGTTGTTCACACACATGTGGAACAGCTTCCCTGCCCTCCCCCCAGCTCCCAGGATCCTAACAATCTTCTTGGCATTCCTCAGATCTTGGCTGAAATATCACCTCCTCTGGGAAGCCTTCCAAGATGCCCAGCTCCTACCTGGTCTTCCTACTGTTTTAGTGTTTCTGTCCAGTCTTCGTGCTCAGTCTTCTTCCCTCTCAGCAGAACTCACACTTGTAATTCATGTTTCTTTCCCTACCCCTGCCCCCCACACTAAACTGGGAGCCCTGTGAGAGCAGAGCCCGGGCTCATCTCTGTCATCACCGTGTCGCAGCACTGCCTAACACAAGGGCCCAGCACAGAGGAACCACTCACCCTCCAGGTGCTCATTCACTCAAAATTTTATAAGAATCTCTCTCCCACTCCTGGGCATATATCCAAGAGGACTGAAGACAGGTGATCAAACAAAAACTTACACACGAATGTACGAATGCTTGTAGCAACACTTCATGACAGCCAAAAGATGGAAACCACCCAAATGTCCACCAACTTATGAATGGATAAACAAATCCAATATCCATACGATGGAGTATCATCCCACCATAAAAAGGAATGATGCACTGATCTGTACTATCACGTGAAAGAAGCCAGCCACGCAAGGCCACCTAGTGTAGGATTCCATTTACATGAAATGCCCAGAAGAGGCAAATCCGCAGGCAGAAACAGATCAGTGGTTGCCAGGGGCTAGAGGAGGGAAGATGGTGGCGTGACTGTTTATACAGCAGAATGGAGTTCGGGGTTTCTCTCTGGATGATGAAAACGTTCTGGAACTAGGAAGTTAGCTGTGCTACAACACTGCGAGTGTACTAATGCCACTGAATTTTACACTTTAAAATGTTTTTTTTTTTTATTTTTAAAGAGTGGAACTTGTGGCCCCCCCAAAAAACGAACAAGTAAAAACATCTTTTCTCTGTAAAAAGAAATGTTTTTTTCCCTGAGAACTTCATGGGTGCTTGACCTTGGACTGAGTAGTTTGGGGGACACAATGGCTCCCAAGACAGTCCTGCCCTATACATGCCAGTAGGGGGAGACAGATGTTAACTATAGAATCAGAGAGCATAAGAAAGGATGGGAAGGGGTTCCTGAGGCTGAGATAGGTTCTCCCGTTCTGCTCCCCTCTTGTCCCATTGGCCTTGCCATTGGCCTCCAACGATGAGACCTGCTACCACCCCAGGGCCTATGCACTTGCTGCTCCCTCCACAGCATCTCCTTACACAGTCTTCTCTGGCCCCACTGGGTAAAATTGTGCCCACAACCCCCCCAGCCATTCTTCCCTATCCCCTTCCTCAGAATTATTTTTCTCCAAATACTACTTTTCTCCATCTTCCTGAAGCTTTTTCAACTCTCTTTCTCTTTTATTTTTCCTCCCAGAAGAATGATTAGGAGCACAGACCACCTGCATTCAAATTCTGTCTCTTCCTGCCTAGCTGTGTGACCTGGTGCAGGTTACTTAACCTTTCTGTGCCTTAGTTTCCTTCTCTCTAAAAGAGAGGTAATAATTGGATCTACCTTATAGAACTGTTAGGCAATCATACGAGCTAACGAGTGAAGCGTAGAAAGTGCTTTTAACAGAGCTTGGCACGCAGGAAAAGGAAGAGACATGTTAGATCTCTTAGGTTAGATCATTAGGTGGTGACATTATTCATAACAGAGTCATAGAATAAAAAATGGAGAGGATACAGAAAAGATATATACAGTAAGAGGGAAAGCTCTCTCCAGCCAGGCAATGCTTGTGTGCACCTACTATTGGCTTTTTGCTTTTGCCAGCACTGGGCTTGAATGCACAACCCTGAGGTCAAGACCTGAGCTGCGACCAAGAGTCAGAGGTGTAACCGACTGAGCTGCAGAGGTGCCCACACCTATTTTTTTAAAACCCTATTTGAAGAAGGGACATTCGAATAGACATGAATGGAGGAGATACTTCTCCAGTCTCCATTTTCTTCATCGGTAGCCCTCATCCAGCCCCCATTAAGAATTTATTTACAGGACTCCAAGATTTTAAGGTCAGGGTCCCGGGAGTCGGTGGTAGGGAGCACAGCCTGGCACCCAGCACGGCCAGCACACACAGCTCTGCGTCTTTGTACGTGAACCAGTGAGTGAGCAGCTCCGTGAGTGAATGAACTGATGGGCTGTTTGCAGTCTGACTCCCAAACCAGAGTTCTGGATCTTTCCACTGCACCACCCCCGTTAACCTCATGCTCCCACCTCTGGGCTTCCTGGCTCCCCCATGCAGGGCAAGCCATTCTATGGTATTCCGCCCATGCGCTGTCCCAGGTCCCTCACCTTTCTGCACCTTGTCACACAGCAGGTAGAGCTCCTCGCCACCCGTGCACGGCCCGCTCTCCTTGTTGATTCGGCAAATCCGCAGCTCTGACGTGTTTGTGGACTCTGCAAGTGCCAGAATTAGTGGTATATAAGAAAGGACGAGAATTCAGTCATCAAACCCTCAGCAGGTACCCCGTGGGTGCCCACCGGGCGCCATGCAGAGATGAGAAATGGAGAAGCCGGGGGCGGGGGCGTCTGATCCACCTGGGACCCGGTCCGGGGAGAGAAAGACGATGCTCAGACAGACGAGTTGATGGACAGTCGGGAGTCCTCCAGGCTGAGGGCCCAAAGGGAAGCCATCAGCCCTCAGAGGAGAGTTGGTGGGGTCAGGGGTCAAGACCATTCGTAGACGAGGATTAATGGCCTGAAATCCATAGTGGAGACCCGTGGTTTTCACCCGTCTAGCAATCCCAGACCATCTTCTGTCAACAGCCCCTCTAGTTCCCTTCTGGGAAACCGCCTCCCCGTCCCATTTCAGTCCTGGGGACTGGATAGGGCAGAACCCACTCCCTAGCTCAGCAGTGATCACATGCCCCAAACCTGGCCAATTAGAGCATTGCCTCCACCTGACCATAGCTGATTGGTCACAGAGGAGCACATGACCCAAACCAGGCCAACGAGAAACAGCCCTGAGACTCTAGCCAAAAATACTGGGTAAAGGAAACTCTCTTTGGGCATGGGGAAGAGGTTCCAAGCTGGTAAGATATAAGCCTAGAGCTGCATACAGTCATTTTGTCCCCACCATGGATGGGCTGTGCCAAAAATGACTCTAACTTGAAGAAGTATAGCTGAAAGATGGAAAAAGATCCTTAATGACATCATTGAGCACCTAGATACAGCCAGACCTGAAGCACTTTACTACCTCAGACCCTTTAAGTTAATGGAACAAACAAACTGGTTTGGTTTTTTTTTTCTCCTTCAGCTCTTTTGAATTGGAATTCTGTCATTTGCACCCACCTGACTGGATTAATTTCTCTTCCCATTTTGATACTTGTGGCAGTCACTGCAGATGCTAAAACCTAACAGCCATTCCCAATCTCCTCTTTCATACCCATATCCCTCTGTAGAAGATGGAAACCCTAAATATTTGCTTTCCCAGACTCCCCTGCAACTAGGGGCCACCATGAGACCAAGTTCTGGCCAATGAGACATAAGCAGAAGTCTACTGGGGGAGAGGGGAGATTCTGGTGAATACATTATATTCTGTATAAAAGAGAAAATTATTACTACTCATGTTGCCTCTTCCCTAGACTTGCCTAGTGTAGTGGTACAGATTGTGCACTCTACAATATGAGAAGGCCTCGTTTCCATAGACCACCTAATAAATGCTGACCACTGGACTTGGGCAGTGCACAGCCTGCACTCCATACAGCCTGTTTGTCCATGCCATTGTACGTGGGCCTTTCCAGGACCTGTGGCCAACAATAACCCTGATACGCCCCGCACCCCAGACTCACTCTTGTCATAGACAGGCTCAGAGAGCACGGGGTCCATGCGGCGCATCTGTCCTTGCTGGTCCCTGTATGAGGCCTGGAAGCAGATCCTCACGACATTCATGTCTACCTCCTGATGGTTCTTCAGGGAGCCAGCTATAGGAGAGATATGGGGATGCTGAGGGTGGGGGAGGGAGACTCTGGCGGGGAGACGACAGACAATGAAGGGAGGGGGTTGGGGAGATAGTGGATACTGGAGAAGGGAGAAGCGGGGGAAATGGGGTGGCAGAGGGCACGAAGGGGTTCAGGAGGACAAGACAGTCAGGCTGGTTTCAGGGCCTCACCATTGTAAGGGTCGATGCCCAGCTGAATCTTGCGCTCGATGGCGGCCTCAATCTCCTTCTTCCTCACACACTGGATGCCCAGATTGTTAAAGCTTGAACGGGGAGTGGGGAGGAATGGGTGAAGGGAGGCAGTCATGAAGAGGCAGGTTTAGCCCTAACTCCAGCAGAGAGGCTGCCTCGGGGCTCACAGTCTCAGGGGCCCCAGCATTGGGAGGGGCCTGGGGTTTCGACCTCTCAGAAGTGTTGGGGAGTCTTGAGAGCACTTGGGGGTGCCCTTCATCTTTACTGCACGAAAACATGGGGCTGCCTCCTCTAGAATGAGAAAGCGGCAAAGGAAACATCACTGCGATGCCAACTTTTAAAAAGCCCATCAACACAGCAAGGATCAAAACATCTGAGAACGCTCCCTACTGGGGAAGTTGTGAAGAATCAAGCACTCTCACCCATGGTGGGTGGGACTGTTAACGTAATCAGCAATTACACTGAGGACAATATGGCGGCATTCATTCATTCCACAATATTTCTTGAGCACCTACTGGGTGCTCGACAGCGTGTGGGGGGACCCAGGGGGGACACAGCAGGGAACAAGAGAGACAAAATCCCTCCTCTCATGGACCTTACATCTTTGCTAAATTTTTAAATCACAGAAAGTTTACAGTGAGAGTTAATCACTGAAGTTAGAGCCAGTGAGTTTGCCTCTAGGAATTGATCCTAGAGTAGAAATGATATATATGTAAAGCCACGCATTTAGTAATAGGGCCACAGGAGCACAGAACTATCCTGAGGGCCCATTACTAGGGGGCTTGTTCAAGTAATGGTGTACAGCTGTATATTGGAATACTATGAAGCCAAGAAAAAGGATGAGCTCAAAATGCTTATAGGAATGATCTCCAAGATATACTAGAACTTAAAAACGAGGTACAAATGTCTGCTACCATTTGTAAGGGGAGAAAAAAATAGACATGCATAGCATATTTTTAATTGCCTACAGGAAGGACCACTGATAGCTGCATGATCAAAGGTGGAAGGAAATTTGTTTTTCACTGTACAGTCTTTCTGAACCTTTTATTTTTTTATTTATCAAAAACATATAAATTATCAAGCGAGAGAATGATCTTGCAGTGAAGTCAGGTCTGGAGTCAAATACCCGCTCTGCCATTCCTCCAAGTCTCAGTTTCCGCCTCGACAAAATGGGCATAACTACAACTGTGTGTGAAGGTGGGTGCAGCAGGGCCCCAGGCCCAGGCACGCCCCTCCACCCCGCTGCCGGGCCCAGCCTTGGTCTCCCCACCGAGGAAATGCAGTGGGGAGAATCTGGCCAAGCGGCCCCTTGCCCTAAGGTCTCCCTGGGCACCTCCGTGACCTGGGGTGAAGGGTTGGGGGGGGAATCAGGGGTCGAGTACCTGTGCCGAGGGCTGACATGAGGCCGTAGCCTCACCCTGCAGACGCCGTCGGTGCAGTCTTTCCCCACGAGGCTGTGGGGGTGGACTCGGTGAGGCCAGTCCTTCCACACCAGGCAGGCGGTCACCTCCACCTCCCGAAGCCCTCCACAATCCCGGAGCTGCAGGGAGACAGGTGCATTTTTGGAGTCCCCTGGCAGACACCTGCACCCATCCAAACTCCCTGGGGCCTCCTTCAATAGCTCTCCAAGCTTCTCCCCCAGGATGATGGAAGGGGGTTTGCTTAAGACCCTTCTGAGATCCTAAACCAAAGGCTTCTCTGGCTGCTGGTCTGGGGCCTCATAACATGAGAGCTGCCCCGCCGATATGCTTTCTCTGGTCACTATGAGTTTTGTTTTGTTTTTTAAAGATTTTATTTATTTATCTGACACAGACAGACACAGTGAGAGAGGGAACACAAGCCAGGTGAGCGGAGAGGGAGAAGCAGGGAGCCCGATACGGGGCTCGATCCCAGGACCCTGAGATAACTGGAGCTGAAGGCAGATGCTTAATGACTGAGCCACTCGGGCGTCCCAGCCACTATGAGTTTTTAAAACCTTGGATGCACACAGGGTCTTTGAGTACTGCCCACAGAGAACTTACTAATGACTGGGGAAGGAAAGCACCTTCACAGCGGAAAACCCACTGGACACCACCTAAATCAGGTGACCAAGGGCAGCATCACCAATACTGGGCCCAGATGACCTGGGGAGTCTGACGGGGTGCCCTGGGAAGGCACGACCTCACTTCTGTGACAGCCCTCCAGGAGTATGTCACCTGAATCTCACCGTGATTCCTCAAATGAGCCCAAATCACGGGTCATCAGGTGAAAAAAAATCAGTGTTGCAAAAGACAATAAAAAGATGGGCATCATATTTCGGTGAAAATCGAACAAATAATATCTTTTGACCTGGCTGGTAACCACATGGTGTATACGTATACAAAAATGTAGAGAGCTGTACACGTAAGATTTGATCAATTGCAACTTGATTTAAAAAAAAAAAAGTGCGTGTTGGGGGGAGACCAGAGAGACATGACAACCGAATGCAATGTAGGCTCCTTAACCGGATCCTGGATTGAGGAGGAAGAAGCCACTGGATATTTGGGGGACAACTAGGAAATGTAACACATTGGATGATACAATGGGATATCGTTAGTTTTCCTGAGGATACTAATAATATTGTCACCACGTGGAAGCTTATTTGCAGGAGGTGCCCACTATCCTACTATCCCGCTATCCCACTATCCCGCTATCCCACTATCCCACAGGGAAGTAATGTGATATTGATGACACACGTGCAAATAGTTTATCAAAAACAAGGTGTGCGCGTATCTGTACGTGCACACGCATGCGTTTGGACAGAGGTGTGTGACAGAGACAGCGAAGGTAGCAAAACGACAATTGGCGGATACAGGTTAAGGGCACACATGTGCTCATTATACTGTTCTTCCCGTTTTTGTTTTTGTTTTTTTTAAAGATTTTTGTTTATTTATTTGACAGAGATCACAAGTAGGCAGAGAGGCAGGCAGAGAGAGAGAGAGGAGGAAGCAGTTTCCCTGCTTGAGCAGAGAGCCCGATGTGGGGCTTGATCCCAGGACTCTGGGATCATGACCCGAGCTGAAGGCAGAGGCTTCAACCCACTGAGCCACCCAGGCGCCCCCCGTTTTTTTTTTTAATTAAAAAATGTTTCGTCCAAACTCATTAAACTGGATGCATTAAGTATGTGCAATTTTGCATATACACAAGATAGCTCAAGAAAACTTTTTTTTTAAACTACAAAAAGAGATGACATTTTTGTTCAAATTTGGGAAAAATTTGGAGCCTGCACTTAAAAAGTATGAGACAGGGACGCCTGGGTGGTGTCCAGTCCTCTAAGCCTCCCACTCTTGGTTTCATCTCAGGTCGGGATCTCGGGGTCATAGGATCAAGCCCGCCTTGTCCTCCCTGCTTAGCTCTGAGTCTGCTAAAGTTTCTCTCTCCCTCTCTCTCTCTCTCAAATAAATAAATAAATAAATCTTTAAAAAAAGGGGGGGGTGCTCCCGGGTGACTTAGTCCATTAAACGTCTGCCTTCAGCTCAGGTCATGATCCCAGGGTCCTGGGATCCAGCCCTGTGTCATGCTCCCTGCTCAGCTGGGGGCCTGCTTCTCCTTCCATCCCCCAATCCCCCATCATTCTCTCTCTCTCTCAAATAAATTAAAATCTTTAAAAAATAAAAATAGAAAGTATGAAACATCCTGTTATTCCAGATTTCCGATTCTATTTTTTTTTTAAGATTTTATTTATTTGGGTGGCTCAGCTTATTAAGCATCTGCCTTTGGCTCAACCAAGCCCCGGGTCTCGGGTTCTTCACTCAGCAGGGAGCCTGCTTCTCCTTATTCCTCTGCTTCTCTCTCTTTCTCTGTCTCTCATGAATAAATAAATAAAATTTATAATAAAAAATTTTTATTTATTTGTCAGAGAAAGAGGGAGAGAGAGAGCCCAAGCAGGGTGAGTGGGACACAGAGAGAGAGGTTGAAGCAGGCTCCCCGTTGAGCAAGGAGCCCAGTGTGGGACTCAATCCCAGGACCCTGGGATCATGGCCTGAGCTGAAGGCAGCTGCCTAAACGAAAGAGCCATCCAGACGTCCCATCCAGATTCTCTTTAAAAAATAAAGTTATTCTTTATTTTATTTAAAAAATAAAGTTATTATCTCTTTAAAAAATAAAGCACCTGGGGCAGGAATTTATGCCACGAGCAGGAACAGATAGAAACCAGACCCAGCCCAGATCCACCTGGCTTTTCTGGGTTCCCCACAGGGACCTGTTGGCATCAAAGATCCTGTAAAGCCCTTCTAAAAGGGCTTTTAGAAGTTCTTCTAAAAAAGAATTTCTAAAGCCCTTGCCTACGCACAGACAAATAAGTAAACCAAAAAACAACAGATGAGTGCATCTCTGTGGGGGAGTATCGCCCTCTAGGGGGCATTTTGGATATTGGGGGGGTGATTTGGGTTGACACAGGGATGGGGACCCAGAGCCCACAGCAGGCAGGACCCGGGACAAGAGATGCCACACAGCGTGCAATACCAGGGACAGTCCCACACAAGTCCTGCAAGACTTCCGATCATCCCACCAACACTCACATCGGGGACAAACCTGTTTAAAATGATCAGAGCCAAGATCCTAGCCATTTTACATACATAGTCCTTTTACCCATAATTTTAAAAAAGATTTTTATTTATTTATTTGACAGAGAGAGTATGTGTGAGCACAAGCAGTGGGAGCAGCAGGCAGAGAGAGAGAGAGAGAGAGGGAGGAGGCTCCCCGCTGAGAATGCAGGACTCCATCCCAAGACCCTGGGATCATGACCTGAGACGAAGGCAGATGCTTAACCGACGGAGCCACCCAGGTGCCCCCTCTTTTGTCCCATAATTTAAAAATACACTGAATTTTCCAGGACTGGGGCCATCGTGTTAATTGAGGGAAGACTGGATTTTGTATACACTAAGGGTTGTTCGCAGCTTTGGAAGATCCCATCACCAACCGTAACCCTGGCCATACAGCATTTGATTCATTAAATAACCCCCTCCCCACGGGTTAGGCTGTCTATGGGACCCCTGCATTCACGAGGTCCCAAGCAACTGCCATTTTTATTAAGATTCCCTGGGGCCATGTCGGAGCATTTACACATTGAAATAAAGATGCTTATTATGCTGTATTATTTTCCTTTCATTTCATATTAAAGTTAGGGCATGATCGGGGCGCCTGGGTGGCTCAGTGGGTTAAGCCTCTGCCTTCAGCTCAGGTCATGATCTCAGGGTCCTGGGATCGAGCCCCACATCGGGCTCTCTGCTCAGCAGGGAGCCTGCTTCCTCCTCTCTCTCTCGCTCTCTCTCTCTCTGCCTGCCTTTCTGCCTAATTGCGATCTCTGTCTGTCAAATAAATAAATAAATCTTTTAAAAAAATAAAGTTAGGGCATGATGGATTTGGGATGATTATGAGTAGCCGGATGTCATATTGTCTATAAATTTCACTGAGTCAGATGGGGTTAAAGCTATTCATTTAACCACCTCCCCACTGCACTGTTAGGAGATTAAGAAAAGCTCAGAGTCAACAGTCTCAGAACTCATGAGAACCACAGGGCTGAAACCTTCTCATCTCTAAGACGTCACACAAGGTCTTAGAATAAGCCAGACCTGGTACCAAATCCAGGATAGAGGACAGGCCATCTGCATGATAAACCTCCCTGTTCCATCCTGATCTGTAGAATGGGTATTATTAAGTACCCGGCATACAGGAGTGCTTAGGAATTACTACAGCAAACTTGCTGGGTGCCCCTGAGCAAGTAACTTCCCCTCTCTGAGCCTCAGTCTGCCGCTCTGAAAGATGGGAATAAAAATCCTGAATCCACAACCAGAGCTGGGTCATCCCCTATTGTTAGATATTTCCTGTTCTAACTCCTGGAAATCAAAACTGACACCGAGCCAGAAAAGCTACCTGGAAAGACATAGAAATAACGTGGTGGGGAAAACACAGCCTCAGAGCATCACCCCATAGTAAGTTGCTCATTACAGAGGAAAGCTGTGTCCTTATAACGAAGAGCGGGGCACTTGCTCTTACGGGCTAAAATGCAGCCTCCTGCAACTCATAGGTTAAAGCCGTAAACCTCAGGACCTCAGAATGTGGCTGAATTTGGAGACAGAGTCTTTAAAGAGGTGATTAAGTTCGTGAGGCTATTAGGATGGGCTCTATCCAATCTTCCCGGGGTCCTTATAAGAAGAGGTCATCTGGACACACAAAGAGACACCAGACAAGTGAGAACACAGCAATAGGGAGGCCGTCTGCAAGACAAGGAGAGAGACCTTGGAGGAAACCAGATCTGCTGGCACCTTGATCTTGGCCCTCCAGGCTCCGGAGCGCTAAGACAATACATTTGTGTGGTCCAAGGCACCCAGCCTGGGGCCGTTCGTTATGGCTGCGGGAGAGACTGACACATCGCCTTGACCATGGAATCTGACTCCGCATCACTGAGAGTGGGACTGACTGCCGGCCCGTGTCTCCTGATGTGAGACACCGAGGCCACAGCATCATCACCGGGGTGTCGCCCCAAAAACACACAACCTGATCTCATCCGGAAATGGCCAA